GCCACCCAGAGCAGGGTGTCCAGGGCCGTGTCCAGGTGGCTGCTGGAGATCTCCACAGAGGAGACCCCACAGCCTATGGGCAGTCTGTGCCACTGCTGCATCCCCTGCACAGCACAGGAGTGCTCATGGTGTTCAGAGGGAGCTTCTGTGTGCCAGTTTGTGCCTGGCACTGGGAACTACTGAAACCAGTCTCTGTGCACCCATCTTTTGGGTATTTTTAGGCATTGATGAGATCCCCCCAAGCCTCCTCTTTTCCAGTCTGCCGCCTTCTTCCTTATAGCCTTCTTTAGACACTGAAGGGCCACTATCAGGTCTCCCTGGAGCCTCCTCATTTCCAGGCTGAACAGTCCCAGCTCTCTCAGCCCCTCCTCACAGCAGAGGTGCTCCAGGCCCTTCATCATCTCGAATCCTGCAAATGATGAGTGCCGCTGTGCTGTACTTTGGATTTCTGAAGGGGAGGGTGACTCGATGCTACCTATGTAAGGAAGGGAAGGAAGGAAGATTTAGGTTGGATGTCAGGGGGAAATTCTTTACAATGAGAGCAGCGGGGTGCTGGAACAGGCTGCCCAGAGAGGTTGTGGATGCCCTGTTCCCAGAGGTGTTCAAGGCCAGGTTGGATAGGGCGCTGGGCAGCCTGGTCTAGTATTAAATGGGGAGGTTGGCAGCCCTGCCTGTGGTGGCAGAGTTGGAGTTTGATGATCCATGAGGTCCCTTCCAGCCTGGGCCATTCTGTGTGATTCTGTGTGTATGTGTTTTGGGGAGGAAAGTGGGGAAGAGCTGTTTCTTTGCAGCAGGAAGACAGGGATGGTTAGATACGGTTGTACACATAAAATGGCCCGTGAATTAGCAGGAGCCCATAAAACTTACTGCTTTTGGAAAATGAGTTGAGCAAGCACAAGCAGAGTTAGGCACTTGGTAGCTTACGTTGCCTAGTGCCAGCTTTTCATTGATGCTTTTTCCATTCTCTCCCAGTGCTCCCAGTTCACTTGGGAACTATTTCTGTTCTGTGATGTGCCTGCCCCATACACATCACAGTAACATCGGGATGACCAAGCTGATTGCTGAGGTTCCCTTCATTGTCCTGTCTGCCTTGAGGCTGCTGAATCCATCCATAATTCTCCTTACTGCTGCGCTACATCTGCACAATGCCATCTCTACTAGCTTCTGCAGTGCCTTTGGCACACACTGCTGAGCATGGGCTGTTGTACTGGCATGGGTATCCTGAGCTCCCACACGCATTCAGTTACAGAAGTACATGTCTGAGTTTACTGTGAGAGTGAACAATGCCTGAGGCACTGAGCAGCTTGGATCAAGAACTCGAAAATGTGAGGTTATCCCTATTTCTAGTTCAGGTTTTGATGTAAATGTCAGGATTAGGGCAGGAATTGCAACTGCCAGTGCTTCAACCCCTTACAATTCTGATGTAATTTATTTTAAGCTTAATATATCCGCACTGCTGCAGCTGATATTAGAGCAAAGCCCTTTCATGCAGCACCTTTAGTGGATAAAGCTCCCCAGATCTCCCATATCTGCTTGTGTGTGGATTGGGTGATTGGCCCACTACAGTTGGGCATGAAAGCCTGGGGTGGAGCCCAGTGTGACACTGGGATTAGGGGTATGGCCACAGCTCTACATGTGATGCTGATAAGAGCAAAGAGGTGTGCGGCTGCCCTGGGTGTGGGGCAGTAGTATGTGGCTGGAGCACTGTGTGAAAGCACCGAGTGTTTGCTTTCTGTTTTGACATTTATACGCCCAGTTCCACTGCACCAGCGTGTGTGGGAGATGTTATTTCTGAGCTTAGAGTGCTAACTTGATAGAAGGCCTCTACGCATCCAAGAGAAATTTATAAAGTGGATAAATCACAAAGAAGTTAGTTCCCATAAATAAGAGCAAGGAATACGGGACATTGCAATGCTTAATTCATAGCTCTGTTCTTCTGGGTCATTAGTTTCAACGTGGACTTCTTCATCAAGCAAAGGCTGGCAGATGTAGCACTGCTTGCAGGGCTCAGTGAAGTCATTATTTGAAGCCATGCTGCTCACAGACTGGAAATGGGTATTTTAAGGGCTTGTGGAACTGTGCATGAAAACAGTTGCATGCTTTGAGAGCATCAGCCTCATAAGTTTCAAGTTTTCTTTTGTAAGACATGACCACAGCTCATCTGCACCAATAGGGCTAACTTGAGAAGTTTATTTCTACTTGATTAAAATCAATGTACACAGCTTCGAGAAGCTACTGGTGTTTGCTTAGCTAAAATGTTTCAAATATTAATAGAGCTCCAAGTTGTTGACAAGCCTTAAAGCCCAGCAAGTAATGTGCTTTGATGTGTTTGTCTTCTGGCAGCTGAAGAGAGAATTTGATCTGAAAGGAGAAGAATGAGTTTACTTAATATTTTCTTTCCAAATGTGAAGTCTGTTTTTTTTTTTTTTTTTCCCTTTTAATTTTTTATCTTCCTCTCCGTGGTTGAAATTCTATTTGTATTATTTTAGAATTTATCTCCCCAAAGAAAATGGAGGTCTCTTACTGACTTTGACACTGACCGAGTTCTGTGCCCCCAGGGATCTCGCTGCATACTTCTGGCACGTGGAGGCCTTGATGTTATGGGTGTCCCTATCTGAGCTCACTGCGCCACTGAGGTCAGAGGGATCATTTGGTTTATTTCAGATTAAACTCAGAGATGTTTGCACCAGTGCTGCCATAACAAGATTTTTTTTTATCCTTTAGCACAAAGCTTTTACATTTCATGCACTTCAAAATATGTCCCTAATATATCTCTAAGCACGGGTTTTTCTTGCAACAGAACACAGTACTTATTGAGGTCTGACTCCCAGCTGGGGTAAATCAGATTGCAGAAACCAAAAGCTGCAGTGGCGGACCTTGATCTAGAGGAATGTTGAGCTTCCCTACACACGTGACATGGGTATACCATGCACACACTCAGTGCAGCACTAACACAACCATGTGGCACTGCACAAGCACCTCTCAGCCCCAGAGCAACCCTTTCAGGGGACAGTCAGGTTGGATATTAGGAACAATTTCTTCTCAGAAAGTGCAGTGAGGCAGTGGCACAGGCTGTCCAGGGAGATGGTGGAGTCACCATTGCTGGAGGTGTTCAAGAGCTGTGTGGATGTGGCACTGAGGGACGTGGCCAGTGGGCACAGAATCATAGAATCATAGACTCACAAGGTTGGAAAGGACCTACAAGATCATCTAGTCCAACTGTCCTCCCATTACCCTTGCTACGACAAGCCACTAAACTATATCTCGTAGCTCCTCATGGGTGGGGGGTGGTTGGATTAGATGATTTGAGAGGTCTTTTCCAATTAGGGTCTATAATTCTATGTTTTAATCTGCCACAAGGCATTGCTAGCAAAGAATTACATTCCTTTCTATGAGAGTATCTTCCAATAAGGTGCCCAGTGATACTCCAGCTCTTTCTGTTGCCTGCAACAGGCCCTGAGGTAGAGGTAAATCAATGAAGTGGTTTGTGCCTGCATGCTCTGTGCTGGAGTGGCTGCAATTTGCTATCTATAAGGTTTGCCTCAGGTTCACAAGGTACTGCCACGTTTGGGCCAGGAATAGTAGCTGAGCCTCAAAATACAGCTGGAACTTCCAACTGGCCATGGGAGGCTGCAGAGAGCACTGCCTGCTCAAATAATAATCCCAAGGCTCAGCCTCCATCCCTGTCACCTGCACACTGTGATGGACCGTGCTCTGTTTTATTTAGCCTGTAAGCTGTACAAGGCAGAGTGACAGGCACATGTGTGACACACATGGCATGCTGCTGCTATCAGCCCAGGACTCTTGTGACTGAAGGGTGCATTTAATGCCTGGCTACCTACCTGGCAGCCCACACCCTGCTGTTCTGTAAGGCCCCATTTTACAGGCAAGGGGATGTTTCTAACCAGATAGCAAAACTGACACATTTCCCCTTTGACATTAAAAGATAATGCATCTCTATGTAGGTGAATAATATAGAATGGCAATTACTGCATAGTTGTGTGTTAAATACAGCTAACAAACCTTGCAAAACATTACCTGTACTGTAGTCCCAGCAGATGCACCGTCAAGATGCAGAAGGCTGGCAGAGCAAGCACAGGTGTCTGCATGAGGAATCCTCTCACCCAGCTGAGACAGTGCAAAAGGTTTTCCCACCTGAGCTGAGCTGTGCAGTTCCCCTTCCTAGACAACAAAGATCAAAAAGAGCTTTGAGGGCAGCACATCCCTGCCCTGCTGGCAGGGCATGGAGCAGCGAGGTTGTATGCTGGCATCAGTGCCTATGCCTTCACTGAGCTCACAGCCTGAACTTTTCTGAGTCAGCCACGTGCTTATAACTCTTCACATAAGGCACTAGCAACCCTGTGAGTCCCTCTGCGTATCTGCTCTATCCCTAATTAATTCCAGTTCCAAAACATAGTTTAGCTACATGTTGATGTGTCACATTTGATCAGGGTAACATATTTACAGGCTGATGGCTCTTAGATTGCTTTTGTGTCTTCCTTTCAAGAGGCACTTCCCACTCTCTTATTATCAATTCTGACTTTGGGGAAGAGGCCAATACACCAATAGTGCTTCTGACACCTGAAGTATGCTCAGGCACAATCTCAAAAGTAGTGCAGCTCCCTGCTTTTGATGCTGGAGCTATGTGTCTTAGACCAGGCTCAGGCACCTTGCTGTGTCTGATCACCAAGGGTGATCAACTTGACTTTACCTGGTTGGACCAGCAGCAAAGATGTGAACAAAACCTTCCTCCCAGGCTGTCCATTAGCAAGCAGGACTGACTCCTGCAGTCAAAGCAGCCCCTCTGGTGCAGGGTCCCAACACAACAGATACTTCCATGTTAAGCTCTGTGGAGGGCACCGCCTCTTTGCCACCCGTTAGTTCTAATGCAAATGCAACTACCAGAAGTTGAACAGCCAGATACAAGGTCACAACCAACCACATGCCAGGTACTGCAAGTGAGGGGCTGAGTCAGTATTAACACCAGACTGAGACATCACTTTACAATATGGATGGTTGTTTATTTATTGTTTTATCATGACACATAAAAAAGCTATGGCTGCAGTATCAAAATATGGTGTCACTTATAAAATGCCAGTATTATTCATGCGGTGGTAAGATACTGTTAACATTTACAGAGATGTGTGTCATAATTCCACAGTCTTGCCAAATGTTTTGCCCCTATGACAAAACCCTGCGGCAAGCAGACAACGGATGGGATGCGGTGTCCTGTTATCAAGGTTTTGCATCTTTGATTACCGAATGGCTTATAACAGTATCAATGATTGGTGCTAAATCTAATCCCTTTGGATATGTTAGACGGGTCCTTTACTTTTACAGTATGTGTCAGAATAAAAGAGAAGCATCTGAAAAATAAAGAGACGGCATTTCCTTACAAAATGAGATGAAAAAAATAAAAAACCATACAAATGGAACATTCAAGTGTTTCTTTTTATATTTAAAGCTCTTATTTCAATATACTGTATTTAAACATTCTTAAATAATCACTCTGTACCTTTGATTTTCTGTTTCATTTTTTGGAAACAAATAGAGTAATCTCACTATAAATGTGTGCAAATAGAAAATATATAAATATATTTAAGGCCCATGTCATAAAAAGGTGGACTCAGAATTGTCACTTTTCCAATGGTCAGCTGGGGTCCCTTTCATTTTGTCCTGGAAGTTATTTGAGCTCTGTTCTTTTAAGTCTTTGAAGTCCTCCTGCAAGGAAGAGCCAAGCACACACATACCATCTTGTGTTTCATTGTGTAAACTACTCGATGACACCTGTAAAACAGTTCCAAAGCGGCTGAACAGTGGAGTTGATGTGATCCACTTCAACAAACTGAAGTCTGTTTGGTCGACTGCCGAGCTCCACGGGAAAGTTCCTCCCATGGGAGACAACTCCATCTCTGAAGTGCTGTGAGTAACTTCACGAAATCCCACAGACCTTTCCTGGCTATGTGCTGATGAGGGGAGACTGCTTTCCTCATAAATCAGAGCACGCTGAGGAGAGGCAGACACAATCAGATCTGTTGCACGCTCTGCCTTTTTGTGCTCTTGGAAAAGTGACTCATTTGTTGGAGATGCTGGTGAAGGCGCGTTTTGGTTGTAAGGCTTAAAACTGTCACTGGCATTCGAGACAAGGTTTGGTGAGAAGCTGTTTGCAAAGGATTGTGTCTGATGTATTGGTCCTTTTTTGACATCCAGCTTGGTCAGAAGCTGGGTGCGAATCTCTGGAGATAGTTTACTCAGCTGGCGTCCAAGCTGAAGCTGCGTTGGGAATAGTGTTCCCTGAAGGGTTCTGTACAGAAATCTGCAAGAAGAGAACATGCATATGAAAGGAACTGAAAGAGAGAAGGTACTCAAGTTATTATCATGAGAATATATAAAAAAATGTAAAACACAGGAAAATAAGACATTTATGTGCCCTTCTTATGTTTGACACAAGAAAGATTACTGAAGAAAACTTCTGACTGCTGTGCTAATATGTGAATAATAACAAGCAATGTAATAAAAATGGCTTTTAGCCAGTGATCCACTTTGTGATGGCACAGGGTCTTTCATCTTTCCTGATGTGGATTCAAGGCAAAGGGTAGATCAGTCGGTAGGGAAGGCTTCTTACATCCATAAGCAGGCAGGTGAGTCCACAACATGGGCACAATCTGGTTAAGTGCCAGATCTGGAGCTGGATCTGCATTTGGATTTGGATGGGAGCTTGATGATCCTTGGGGTCCCTTGCAACTCAAGCCATTCTATGATTCTATGCTACGATAGTTCAGAATTCTGAACTATCAGAATTTCTGTATTGTACATCAGGACAGGTTGAATCTGGAAGAATCATGAAAAACCTCACAAGATAGATAGAAAATCTCTGCATGACCAGGAGCTTCAATATACACCAGTCTACAGGACCAAACTGTTTACAATTATTCCCCTCCTGTGGTGTACAGCCAGGAACTGTGGTCACTTCCTGTGATCAGGAGCACAGAAAAGGTTAAACGACCTGACTTGATATAATGACCCACTGAAAAATGTTGTCTTGGTTGATAAGCCAATGAGAGAATATATTTCTTGCCCCCGTAATCGTATGTATGAAGTGCTTTCACATATGAGAAATGATACAATACCTGGGCAGCAATGCAACTACTGGTGATATAATGCAAGTGAAGTAGAATATCGGGTCTCCCATCAGCCTTTCCATAGTCCAGTATGGATTGGATGGAGGATGGCATACTGGGCAGGAAGCATTGTAAACCAGAGCCACAAAGAAAAATAAAAGGATACTGAAGATGCAAGATGACCAGTGGAGGAATGTCTAGAACAACAAAAGAAACAACAAAAGAGCAATGATTCTTTCCTTTCTGAGAAAACTATTCTGAATTAACTGCTCTTAATTTCTGAAGCTAAATCCATGTACGGCAAAGAATTTAGAGCCTTGCATTTTGAAAGATTCTTATTAGATACAAAACACTAAATGCTGTGCACAAGTCACAGTTCAAAACCTTTTTCATGTTTGCTTAAAACACTTGATAAAAATAGAATGTGCTGGGTGAATGGAATGAACATCTTGTGTTTCTGTAACATTGCACCAAGAAAGAAATGACAGCATGCCAGCAAGTTTCCGTGGAGACTGTGGGTACCTTACCCAAGTTTTGGTTTCAATAGCCAAATGTAGTATGATGGTGAAAAGCGCTGTTGTGGTGATGGGAGTTCCCCAGGAGAAAATATCCACCTCGGAATCATAGTAAGTCTGTAAAGGAGGAGGCAGAATTTAGCCCAAACTGTTACCAGTTCTCAACACGCCTGAAATAGAATGTCTTAAACCAAACACTTACAAAATAAGGGATGAAGAAGCAAACAAGGCTTTGATACATAGCATCAATCATGTTCATCCAAAACATGTGTGGTTGATACTCCTGCAGCACAAAAAAATAGAAAAGAAGGAAATCAGAGATGCTATTTGCTGGGCTAAGTATTTTCGAGTGGCTTGTGCCACTGTCTCCAACACTTTGGTGATCACACTTGGGGATGAAATATGAAGTCTATCTGCAAGTCACTCCCTTCTGGGAGGAGAATCTTCTCCATTTTTGTTTGCTACCAGAGGATGTAATCTGAATCTGACACTTCCAATACATACTCAGACCAGCAGACGTTTATGAAGGTGCCCAAATTTATGCACTACAGTTACACCAGTGATTTCAGGTGCTCTCTGAGGTGAAGGCATGTGAGTAAATGGGTTTTAAATCATGTGCAGCATGTGCACCCAAACACGGAATGTATATTTCCAAGAGAGAAAAAAGAAAGAATGCATAGATGCTTAGAAAGGAAGATCCACAACAATGAACTTTAATGAAAATTCATGTAGGAATGTATGCTATGTTACAAATGCACATACAAAACATATGTATATATATATATAATTCATCTGTGTGTGGATACAAAATTGCTTGCTAAAACAATATTTAATCTAATATTTTGATTGGGGTGGTATGAATGATCATAAAAAAGACTGAAGTATAAGAAAAAATAATTTATAAATGGAAAAATATGTATTTATTTATTTGAGGATACAGATTCTGTCTTTAGCCACCAGGCCCATCTCAGATCTTTCCCCTTTGAAGAATATCACAGCAGCCTAAAAGCAAAAACTGAAAGATGCTTAGAAAGAATTCTGGTGTCCTTTTGTCTACTGAAGAAACATGTGAATAAGGACTGGAACAGGTGGCTCAGTGCATCTGTGGAATTTCCGTTCTTGGAAATATTTAAAACTGGACTAGATAAAGCTCTGAGCAACCTCATGTAGAATTGAAGTTAGGCTAGTGTGGAGCAGGAGGCTGGACAAGATAATTTCCAGTGGTCTTTCCAACCTCAATTACTTTGAAATTCTACAAGCATACAGCAGGTTCTTTTCTGAAAGTGATCCTTCTTGAAGGAGAACTTTCGCCAGGTTTTTAAATTCCTTTTTAGGTATTCAGAGAAAACATTCACCAAATTTCAAACAAACTTAGAATAGTCCCTGTGCTTGCTGATGGGAAATGTACTGTGCACTGGAGACTTCTCTCCCCAGTTTGCCAGCTGAAGACAGGCAGACATAAATACCCAACAAGCTTAAGCTGTGATTAGTTTCAAAGAAACGTGAAAATAAAATGGAAACCAAGAGCTGGGTGAAAAAGAGAATTTGCACTAAAGTGCTAAAATTCTTTCCACTTTCCAGCACAGTGTCCAGCAGTGTGTCAACAAGGACACTGAGAGGCAAAATGGTCACTGCCTCCCTCAGAGAGCAGAGTGTCAATACTTTTAAGAAAGGCTTTTTCCTTGCAAGCAACAACTGGATGTGAATAGTTTTGCCAAGCAGAAAGATTTTCCCACATTGTAGCTGTAATTATTGGAAATCTGGTTTCAGTCCCTACTGCAATTCCTCCTGTCTTCTTTGTGCAACTTAAGCAGACAGGAACAAGGGGCTTTCAACAAAGCTTTCTGAATCTACTGTCTACTGATGATGGCTTCACTCAGAGTCTATCAACCTCTGTGCTTACTCTTAAAACCATCTTTGTCTTTTGTCTGTAAAGGGCTCAGGCTTGAAGCTGTGACTAAGTATGGTGAGGTACTACAAAAAATCTAACTTCAGTAGCTATTTGTGAGTCTAGCTCATGAGGGAAATGTTCAGCTCAGGCTGATTTGAAGTGCCCATCTTCCCACCTGATAAACATTTCAAAACATAGCTGATCTTTTTTGTTGTTGATCATGTTTTAGATGTACTTTTGCCATCTAGATACTTTGACTCAGTTGAGCAATAGCAAGCAATAGTAACAATGATTATCTACATCTTTTTATCAGCAATGTGCCCACTTGGAGCCAGGTTGGTTTCCAGTTGAAACTGAAGGCATCTAAGAAAAAAAAATAAAATTACAAAACCCAGAAGCTTTTACCTCCATGTTCTGTCCGCTTTTGTAAAGCTGAGGTACAGATAGTAACACTTCAGCTGGCACATCCTTATCCAGCACACCAGTAATCAGTTGTGGAAGAGAAGAGAAAAGCAAATTAAAGAAGATGAGATACCACTGGTCAACCATGGATGAGCCGGAGAACCCACAGTAGAACTGGTACCAGAAAAGAAGGGCCACAAACATCTGAAAGAGAACCAGCAATGCCATAAATATGAGAGGAGAGACAGCATCATCATCCCATTCTGAAATCATTCTCATTCCAGTTCTGCAAGAACTCATCCATGTACCCTAAGCATGTGAGTTTTCTAGTGAAACCTAGACTTGGACTCACTGTTCCTCATGGCTGTACCACTTAACTAAGTTACAGTTTGGCAAATCTGGAAGTCTTTGTGCTGCTGAGCCCTCAGATCTTATGAGTCAGGACTTGAATTTTCAGTTCAAGTGCAATTCTGAAATGCAACTCAGTTAACCATAAAAAACTCTCCCAGCTGCAGCTGACCTATAGGTATTTGAGTACTGATCACACAGCACTTACACTGCTGTCCTAAGAATAAACAGTTCCATAATAACACCTTCTTCTAGAAGGCTTTAGAAGGCTCAGCTAGTCTTGAAAGGGTAAATGCAGAGTTTTTCCAAGACTAACATGAGACTTCCAGAAGCAAGACAGATGAAACAACAGGGTCTAACAAAGTAGTTCTTAACTGTTCTGATCTTTGTGCTTTGAAATTCAGCAGATGAACAGCGCAGTGAAGACTCCTCTGCCTTACTTACTGTTCATTTGAATGAAGGAATTGATTGCATATTACATCAGTGAGACTGGTAGCTTGGTTCTACCTTCTTCTACAATCCCTGCAACATGAACAATCCTAAGGATTTTAGGGCTTAGGAGAGGTGCTGATTTCACCTGTGAAGGGAGGTTTGAGGTCTAGCACAGCTTCCTAGGGAAGGACATAAATTCCAAGGCTTACTCCTCCTAAAATCCCAATTTTAATTACTCTCTGTAAAGTGATTAACACTACAGAGAAGGCAACCTTGGCAACTGTCCCTCAGGGGTTTTCCTCATTTTAACCATGAAGAAGGGAAATGACGTGACCTCTTATTTTCTCTTTTATATTTTGTTCTCCAATGCTTTCAACTAACTGGAGTATGTTAACCCTTTTCATCTTCATGTATTTAGAGGAAAATAATAATTTATTCTATCTGAAATTCAAATGTGTAAGAGAAATACCCACAGTCTGCTTTGGCAGTGAAAACCACTGCAAGGAGAATAAGGATGTCTTGTACAGGGAAACTGCCAGAAAATATGAGGCTTAATCCTGCTACACATAAATGTATATAGATGTGTATACAGAGAGATGCACAGTATGTACATGTTCAGGCAATATGTGCATACTACACTGTAGTAGTTTGTATATCAGTAGCAACATGTCTCACAATCTGTGAGCCCATACCATAAGCTAATCTTCTAGAAGTTAAGCATAATCTTAAGGATCAGCTCTAGAAGTGCTTCATATATTTCAGGAAAAATGTCTGCCTTTGCCTAAAATGGGCCTGGATTAACAGAGCTTTTGATCAGTTGGCTGGAAGATGGCAATTTCATTCACAATTGAACAGACTTTGAAATTGACTTCCGTTCCACATCCAAAAGACAACAAAACTTCCTGAGTCTTTTCACAAAATGGAATTGCAATAAATACACGGATTTAGAGACTTTTCTCTTGCTTGCTTGAAATAAACATAATCCAGCTAATCCTGGACCTAAGAAATTTTCCTCTCCAGAGCCTTGCTAAATTCCCATCCTGGAAACAGTTTGGCTTTGACAATAATGGGGAGTCTGATGAAAATACACTCAGAGGAGTTTTTTCATGCTATCTCTAGTTTGGGTCTCAGCAGTGCTGTTAAAGAAAGCTGTACAAATAAGTGGCACTTCAGTAACCAGTGAATCAATTTCTTCCCCCTCAAATTTTATTTTGGATTAAACAAGTGTTTGATTTAAAACACAGCATTTCCTCATTTGTGTACATTACCCACCTGAAAAACAGTGAAAACAAATTAAATTTAGTGAGTTTTCAATGTAAAAATTGAGTTAGATTTTTGACAAGAAAGGTTTATTTATTTATTTATTTTTTTCTCCCAGATGAGTCTCTGAGGAATTTGGCCCCAAGTGGAAGACTTCAGTGAATACAGTGCATGTCAAAAAATGCACTGTAATTTTTTGACATGTCCAGTGCTCTCTTGCAGAGGTAATGCATTAAGGAGAACAAACAGTGCATGCTTGTGCAGAAGTTTGTTTATATAAAGTCCCTTTGTGTCATGCTTGGTTATTTCCAGTCATGCTATGTTTTAGTTTATATTTTATTTGTATTTTTATTCTCTCTTCCAAGCCAAAAATCTTCTTGGATAAGTCACCTGAGTTTCCAAATGGCTTTTGCAGCAATTTGGAATTTAAACTTTGAGTTAGGTTCTACGGGAAAATGGAAAGTTTCACAATACATGCAACTGGGAAAAATAATGCTTGAGTGAGTAGAAACCTTTAGGAACATTTGCAGTGTAGATATCTTTCTCTCCACTGAGAACCATCCAAAATTTTCTCCTAGCAGAAAGATCAGGTGCTCCTATCTTTCATTTTTGAATAATCTTCCCTTAAGGGCAGGCACAGTGTCAGACATATTCATGTCTGTGTGCTGGATATCCCACTACAGTTTAGAGACAGCAGAAACAAGAATTGCTCAGAAAACTCTGAAGGCTGCCAAGGCAGAGCCACTACAAAGGGATATTCTTCAGTTATATGCTAACCCTGAGGCAGCAGCTTTTGAAAATGTCTTACTAAAAATGGCATGAGAAATAATACTTGTAATCAAGGGGAGTTGTACCAAAGGAAATGGAAGATTTTACAAGGGCTGAACAAAAATACAGATACATAAACATCTCTGACTGCTGACTGCTGGAATGTCTTATGTGTATTATTATTATTATTATTATTATTATTATTATTCTAATTTTAATATGAGTTTGCTCTGAAATATATTTCCTGGAAGTGGGAGGTTTGATACTGTCAAGCCAAAGGGTATCTTGGAAATGTTCAGTGCTGGGGCTACAGTGCAGATATTCAGCATCATCCAGGACCAAGCTGTAGTACTCACACATTTGAAAACCAGCACATATTTCATTGTTGTGTTTCAGCAGGTGAACCTCCACTGACTGCAACATGATTTAAGTCTACTTGCTATTCCAGGCTCAGGCAGCAATTCAGACTTTCCAAACCCCTTCTGGTTTTTTTTTGCGTGTAGTTTCTGATCAGACCACAGACAGCATTTTATCATGCTCATGTTAGCACTAAGCTGGTTTATTAATGCTTTAGTTCTCCTATATATTCCCAGAATATTTAAAATTTTCAGCACATAATGGTCTTTTCCTGAGAAGATGACTATCTTCAGGTTGGGATCAGACAGAGATTAGCCAGACGAAGAGGAATTTACATAAAAACTTACCACTGATTGAAAAATTGAGACTGGATGGAATTTGGAATGCAACTTTTACGAAACAGAGAGCTACATTTTTTCTTAGTAACATTTGGATAGTGAGGATGAAATCCATTCTCCCACTCATGGTTCACATATTGTCCTCTGGAGTAAGCAGAGGTCTGAGAGCTCTGGCTCTCTTCTTTTTCCCACTTCTTCATATCCCTGGCTCCCAGGATGATTTGTAGGTGTTGAAAGTGAGGAGATCAATGTGCCAGCCAGCCACTCCCACACAGCTGATGGAATTCTTGCTTGTCTCGTTAGGCAGTTTTCAATCAATCACCTTTGTACTCTGAGATCAATGCAAAGACACTTGGTATGAGCCAGGCAGTGGAGCTGCTATGGCTCAGTGCCCAGGACTGGACTAAGTCTTGTTTCATGCACCAGGGAGGAAACACAGACCCTTAGTCTGTTCTTCACCACGGTGTGCTTCCTTTCTAATGAATTCTTTCAGTTAGCTGGGAATAAGATAGATCAATGAAAAATCTTCCAGATCTTGGCATCTGAGACATACAGAGGTCTTGAATTATCTCAAGTCACCAGGGACATTGTACAATGATTCATAAGCAATTACAAGATGGAGTCAGGAAGAGAAAACACACCCAAGGGCTACTTGGACCAATGCTGGATGACCTTGGCATTAAAGACTCCCCTGTCTAGCCAGCTAAATTCTGTGAAACTGCTCTATAAATGAAACTTTTCTTAAGCAGTGCTTGTTATTTCTGTTACCTAATTTGCACATTCAGCAGCACACTGTAGCTGTTATGGAGTGAGTCCTGTATTTTTGCAAATGGCAGCCAGCTGTCTTTCAACTCTGCAAGTTTTTTTGCAGCTTATTTATAAGCTGTTTGAAGGCTGACCTAATGCTCACTTAGCACAGAATAAACCCTGGAAACATATGTTGCTACAAAGCCGCCAAGTTAAACACTTACTGCATTTTTGTAGAAGAAATACAGCACCATGTTGGCAAGTCGAGAATAACACCAGTGACCATGAACAAGCAAGAGCTTCTCTAAATGTCGGAACCTCGGGATTGCAAAGTCGCTTGCCATCACCGCCTGTAATGAGAGGAAAGTTGAAACCACTATTGTAAGGTGTCACATTCAGCCCCAACAGTGAATATAGTCATCTTCTCAGCTTATAAAGTCACTGGAAGTTGTGGCGATGAGGAATCAAACTCATTATAGCGCACAGGAAATGCAGCCTTGGGATTCACGTAAGAAAATCCGGTGGCTTTGCAGAACATGCCAGAAGACCTGGTCCTTGCCCAGTGGAGATGATGGTCTACACTCCAGGTTGTGACAAGCAAGAGTTGGGACAATGGCTGGCAAGTAGTTGCATGAGCCTGAGGGCTCAGAGTAACACATGTGTGAACATCTCAGTTGCTGTAATGTCTTTCTCTGTAAAACCAAAGGGTTACATATGGGGCAAAATGAACTGCCAGTGAATGAAACAGAAAAGCACAATTAAGAGCTTGCATCACATTACTGAACTTTAAAAGACAAAACAATAAAAATACTGGTTTCAAAGAACATTTGCAATCCTGGTTTATAAAGCGTACTCAGCAGTTCTGAGACATCCGTATTTTGAGGGATTTTTAAAATCATGTGCTAAAACTCTCTATGAATAATCATGTTAGATGAGACTCCCCTGGGGTTGTGCAGACTGCCAAATCAAACTGACAACATGAGTCAAGTGGATGCACTTTCTCTCTACTTCTGAATGACTAAAATTCAAAGCACTGTACATCTAAATGACACCATCCGGTAAGTGATGGTTATCACAGGCATTTCATGATCTTCCATATCCTAGGATCACATTAAGATTTCATATAATACTACCTTACATTTCATTTTTAGTTTTTAATTTTGATATCAGCTACCTTTTCAGCAAAAGCGTGAGGAAAGGTGAAAATCTCCAGAGGATCAAGTCTTCTTCATACTCTCTGGAGTATTTTGACCATGTTTTCAAACGAGACATCTTTCCTTTTAATTCTTCCCTCTTCCTTCTCTTGGTAAACCACCAAAAGGAATCATTTTTCCCAAATAAGTGTGCTTTTAGAAGCTATTCAAATAAACTCAGAAGCACTCTGGAATGCAATGTAATTTAAGCAACAGATTTAATATAAGCACTGGGACATTTTTCAAATGTTGACCTATCCATCCTGGGATTTCTCAGGTACTGAGATACAGTTGTCACAACCTCACACATCAGTCTGATTTGTCTTGCAGATACGTTGCTATTCACGATTTGAGAACAGAGCTGTGCCACATCTGCTTCCTCATCCTCTGCCCAACCTCAGCCTGTCCCAATGCTCAAGCAAAACGGTTAGCTTCTTTGCAGCTCTGTTTCTATGTTACTTCACAACACACTATGAGAAATGTGTAATTTTTTAAAATTCCATTTTGATTAGAATGAGGAACACGGGAAGACAGTGTTATCCAACTGCATCTGTATGTTTATTTCACTTCAAAATATCGTCTCAATTTTCACTTTTTAATTTTTTCTTCCAGCTTTTTCAAAGGAAAAAATGATTCATGCTCCACACACTTCCATAGAATTTGGAAAGAAAATGGATCAGAGTGTATTGCTGTTTCAGACATCCAAATCCTCAGAGCCTTTTGAGTATCTGCATGCATAAGATTCTGACAGCTGTTTATAGTAAAAAGGCCTGCATGGTTCTTTGGACCTTGGAGCAAAGGAAGAGATCTACTAATATTTTCCACTCCACTGAACTTTCATTTAGAAAAACACAGACAGTTTAATGGGTTAATGAACAAATAACTTTCAGACTTAAATACACCACAAAAAAAGAAAAGAAACGAGGGCATCTGAGGATTTCTCATTGTCAGTGCTCAGCTGAAAGTAGCATGATGGCAAGAGGAATTAAAAAATGCATGCTACATATGTCTACATTGGGAAAGAAATAGATCTGAATTAATACAAAGATTTTAAGAGTTGATAAGCTGATAAGAGCTGATAAGACTCAAGGAGCCTGGGCAGACCCTTTTTGAATTGGTGGGCTTGAAGAAGACTCCACATTCTCCTCTGGGTTTCCTGGACTGCCCGCCAAGTGATGGTGCAAAAGCTATGCAAAGCTCTTGGAGCTCTGTTATGTAGCAATGAATTTACTTGGTATTAGCTTAGTTCAGGCCTTCCTTTTCTCATGCCCTCTCCATCCACCACACTCAGATTCAGAGGGCCTATAGCTGAGATGCTATAAGTATCAGAATATTGTTGTGGTAGCTTCTGCCTGTCTAAGTTACAACTGCTGCCAACTCTGGAGAAGCATTTTTTAAGAAATTTGAAGCCTGAAATCTTTCTCTTTGAATAGCACTCATGGACATCCACTTGCACTGGACATGACTTTGACTAAACTTCATGGATGATTAAAAGGAGAAAATAAGAGCTCTACTAGGTCAGGCTGAAGCCCATCATGTTCCCTGGTATTCAGCCTTTAACAGTGGCCAAGAGACAGTGCCTTTGGAAGAGTGTATGATTGGAGAAACATCTGGCTTTTCTCTAGACTACTGTCCTAGCTTCTAGATACTTCTATCCCGGAAAACACACAAATGTGCCATCTAAGTTCAAAGCTCAGTTAGATTTTTATTTCTTAAATTTGTATTTTGAACACAGTTAAACCACAGTACTCATGAAATTCCCTGGAATAAAAAAACTATCACCACTTCTTTGCTCCACCGTGGGGCACAGAACCACCTGCTGGTAACTAAAGGAGTATGTTTATCTGCTTAGGTCCTCAGGACAAAAACAATTCCCATCCTGCTTGAAGAGCTCTTAGGTTGTGAAAATGAGGTATCTTCCTCACTCTGTGTGCCTTACTGCTATTTTTGGTGCTAGCATAGCAAGTGAGCTACATTAACATTAGGAAACAGAAGCAATAGATAATACAGTAGGTAAATAAGCTTCCTCTCTTTTGGGGATGGGAGAAGTGCCTCTTATACAGTAGCAAATGCAGTAATAACAGGCTGAAGATATCCAAAAGACTGCAAGTCCCTCTACTCTGCCATTCCTTGTGGCAGGAAATGGGGAAAAAAAACCAGCACTTGGTGCTGTACGGAGCAGTGGTTCTGCAAAGGGCCAAGATTTTCTATTTCTTCACTGTTCTGCTGTCTGGATAAAGCTAAGTAAAAAGTTGTGTGGGCGTACTGGCTAAAAGATACCACTACACTATGCAAACAAACTACTTCAGCTGGATGGGCTTGTGCAGCTATTCCACAGGAGGAGTATAACCAAGCAGTGCAAGAGAGAATAACAGCAGAATAAGGTGACTCTAATTTCAAGTCTAACTAATACATTGCTGAGCTTTATTCCCTCCTTGAAACCAATATTTATTAAATGATTTCTTAAAATACATTGCTTACAGGGATCTGACTGGGGCTGACAACAGCAGGACTAGGGGAAATGGATCCAAGTTGAAGGAGGGAAGATTTAGGTTGGATGTTAGGGGGAAGTTCTATACAAGGAGAGTGGTTAGGCCCTGGAACGGGCTGCCCAGGGAGGTTGTGGATGCCCCGTCCTTGGATGTGTTCAAGGCCAGGTTGGACGGGGTCCTGGGCAACCTGATCTGAATGTGTGTGTTTGGTGGCCCTGCTAGGCAGGGGGGTTGGAACTACATGATCCTTGAGGTCCCTTCCAACCCGGGTGATTCTGTGATTCTGTGATCTGATAAGCTGAACTTTCCGAGAAGTTAACATATAAGCGCAGCACAGATCTGAGAACAAATACAAGCTCAAACTCAAGCTGAAAGCATCCCTATGAAGCACAACTGGCACTTAGAGCAACTTGCAGCTTCTTCTTTATTTGTGCTGGCTATCCAAAAGCAGGTTTGTCAAGCTAGCATATGAGAAGTGCCTATTTCAGTCTTTGCACATGCTTGTCAGTGAACGAGCAACAGTACCTGCATGCCTTCTTGACCGGAGATCCCCACACCAACATCTGCAACTTGGATCATACTGACATCATTAGCACCATCACCTGAAGATGACAAGATACAGTTTTATTTATCACAAGTAGGCCAGGAAATAGCAAAGCAAATGAAAACTAGTTATTACTATGTGTTGGCTGAGTATAGAAAGGGAGTTGTGGGATTAAAAAAGCCAGCTTTGGAACCTAAGTTTCAAAGCTTAGCAAAGCTGATGAGATATTCTTTTCAGCAAAACCGAAAATATCAGCCCTGAACTGAACAAATATGAAAACACACCAAGAATGAGCTTCTTACTGCTCCTGCTTCCTTATAACTGTCTGTTTGCAGTAAGGTACGATTAAGAATGAAACATGCAGTGAAGACGCCCATCTAGCAAAAAACATGGCAATACGAAGAAGTGGATGAATCCTTGACTTGGATTGCCTAGTCTGGCATCACTACTATAGCGCTGCAGGCAGATTTATCTGCATGGGTGACAGAGTCACCATCTCTTGCTCTTTTTCTAATCATCACACTGCAAGGTGACACAACTGATGTCTTTGTTACTGTTCGAAACAAACTCAGCTTAGCTTGTGTTGGTTAAAAGGGAAGATGGAACAACTAGTTTTTTAAACCAGAGCAAGAGCTTGAATTCAATGCACAGGTTCAGATTGCTTAGAAAGACTGAAAACACAAGCTAATCATTCTTCACTATTGTTTTTAATCTTTCTGGATAATTCAAGTTAACCTGTTAGATATTTTTGAGAACATATGAAAATGATGATGCCTACTGTCAGTCAGCCAGAGACATAAAATAAGCAGGAGAAAGGAATACTTGTGATAAATGTAATGTAGTGGGCATGGGGATTCTTAAAATCAGCATACATTTGTTGCTGTAGATGTCACAGGTGTCTGGCAGTTATTACATACTTTGGATTTCTCACAGGTAGGTCCAACCCACGTGTTTATGCTATGATTAACTAAGATGCGTCTTCTAGTGCAACCTGAGCCTAAACTCGTGATAGGCTAAGACACAATTGTAACATCTTTTATCACAAAACACCTTATCTTTCATCCACCTATCTTAGTTAAGAAAAGCTGATTGATTTTTCTTATGTAAAAATCATGGAAACATGAAAGAAGCTGCCAGATTTAAACCAGGATGCATGACAAAATCTGCCCTTCACCAACTGAATGAGTAGCAGTGAAGTAGTGTAACAGCTGGCACGATGCCATCGTAAATTCACTTTCTATACAGATGGCCAATTTATGTCCTATGCTGTATTGCTTACTTGTGATGAAAAATGCAGACCCTTGAGCTTAATCATGGCTGAGTGAAACAATGAGCACATTTTTGTACTGTGTAATACAATGATCGCAAAATGGTGTTCTGCACAGTATCAGCTAACTCAGATCTTCACAGCAGTGTTTGAGCATGCCAAAACCTCAAGGCATACTGTAGTATCACCAGCACCTACCTTCAGTAGGATGAAATCCTAAATGCTATTCCAAGAATTCTGCAATAGCTTTGAATAAACGTGTTAAAGTTGTTTGAAACATTGTCTGACACAACTAGAAGGTGTGTGAGTTGTATGGCAGCTGGAAGGATCAAACTGCAAGTCAAAAACCCAAGATTCTCAGTAAACATCAAAGCAGGCTTGTTTAAAATGAGATATTTACCTATTGCCAAGGTCATTGCTTTGAGCTTGTCTCTGACTAGTTTCACTACCATGCTCTTTTGGAGTGGAGTAGAGCGACAACAAAGAACTGAACGGCACCGTTTGGCTAGTGCAAGAAATTTATCTTCTAAAGTAGGTTCCAGGGCATAAGCTAGAGTCCTTCCATCAATCACTAGGCCCAAGCTGGAAAGCACAGGGGAAGAGGGTGGATAGAGAGGGGTGAACCCAACAGTCATGTTTCCAGTAGCTTCGTCTATTGTGTCGTTTGAAAATTTAGACTCTATGCATTGCAGACACTGCTCCAGCAAGACAGCACATGTCTCCTGAAAAAAAATTCAAAGCAAACATGTTTGAGAGAAAAGAATGTATGTTCAAAAATTGGTGTTCTTTGTATATTTAGGCATAAGGAATATGGAGGTGTTATATTTGCTGCACCATAAAAGTTTTAATTTCTAATATTCTCTACTCACTCTTTTTTTTTTTTCTGTGGAAGACATGACAACAATGAAGACACGAAAGACTTAAAACCGAATTCCTCTTTAACATGCAGTACTGTATGCTAAACTAATTTCTTTTAGCTCCTTCTTAGAATAATAGCTTTGGAGAATGATATAATGATCAGTATCAGTACCAAGTTGAGCATGGTGATGAGCACCATGTATACGCCTACAACACTTATCAAGTAGTTATGCATTATTAAAGGCCAATTAAGGGTTATTTAAGCCGAATTTTCTGTCCTAGGCATACTCAACTAGAAGATGTTACTGAGAATATATGAACTTTTAAAATGAAATGCTACTGGTTGTACAGCAAAGAATGACAAAAAACAAAAGATCATTGAAAGTCAGTTTACTAGTTCAGTTGATATACTCAAGAAAGGGAAAATGCTGTTATCTTTTCTTCCTTTTCGAAAAGAATTGGAGCTGGATACTGCTGACCTACCTCTCCTCTGCTGATCTGAAGTCCAATTTTATCACCCCATTAAAGGACTACAGCACTATCGGTCTGGTTCCTTGCATGTTAAACCATATCAGTAAACTCTTTGTGACTGCTTGCGACAAGTTGAGCACAGGAAAGATCAGTAATTCAGAAGAATTAGAAAAGGTCTGTTAGGAAGCAAGTGATTACTGTAGATGCGGTTTTCTGGCTTTTGAGTGCTAGCACTGAAATTTAAGCATTGTTTCTATTTCCTGAGAAAAAGCCATCTGAGAAAACATGAATGAATTATCTAGACACTACATTTCAGTGTAAAGCACACACATTTTCAATTCAATTGTTTTCTTCCTAACCAAATGTTCGATAACAGGTTGCTTTAGTGCCAATATGCAAAACGAGGGATGTTTTCAGAAAGCATACCAAACGCAGGCATTTATGTTGTTATGGCATGTTGGTGGATCCCAACACACGCAGTTAAATCTTCAGTAAGTTTATGACACATGACATTATAACTTAGAATATAATTCACCAAAAAGTATTCAAAGATTTGTCCTACCTGAAAATTACGGTTGAAGCAGGAAAAGGAAAAAAAAAAAAAAAAAAAAGAGGGAAAGGAAAAAGAAGCCATCAAACTCTTAATTGTGCAAGTTGAAAACAAAGTAAAGCTACTTCACAAGTAGACTTCAGTATAGTATTTGATCTGCTTACTGGTGATTCAGCATTCAAAGTGATGATTTCCTCATCATGATCTAGTAGCTTGCAGGCATATGCAATATTAACAGCAGTTTCTTGCTTGTCTCCAGTAAGAACCCAAATCTGCAACCCAGCTTTGCGCAAGCTTGCAATGGTTTCTGGAACGCCATCCTGTAAACGGTCTTCAATACCAGTGGCACCTAAGCACACGGTAAAAGCAAATTATTCCACATTCAGCAAACACTTATGATTCACCTCAAACTGTAAGCTTGGATTTTTCCAAAAATTACAGCCACTTTCAGTGGGAAACAGCTAAACAAAACTAACAATGCATGCAGTATTCAGGCAGCTTTTAGGAGGTATCCAGAGAGAGGAGTAGAAAACAGCTGGTGTAAACATATGCATCAACAGTCAACAACAAATTCAGAGTTCCAAACTTCAAAAGCAACCTGATGCCACTCTCTCAGTAGTTCACAAAGATGATGTACCTTTGCTTATTGTTTCTCTGCTCTGTATCTTCACCCTTTCTTCTGCATGTTGCTAGATAAGATATTATTGATTTAGTTCTAAAGGATCTTGACTGCCTTTCCTCAACTAGAAGAGGATTGGTCATTACAGATCTCTCCCTTTCAGAGGGGAATGACAGCAGAACTGCAGCTTGGTAACCACACATTATGCTTTAGACATGAACTACTTAGTGTCTTGTGGATGCTCTTTGCTCTTGTAGAAAAACACCGGTTGCCTGATGCAATTTAGCAAAGAATAAATCATAAATCTATAATCCATAATGTAGAAGGAAAATGTGTTTTTTTCATACTCCCAGGAATCTTCCTACTTGTTTATAACAAACAATATTTTTCCTAAGCTTTCATAAATCAATAGAGGAGAAGATTTTCAAATTGCAGTAAATACAGCTCAGGATCAAGTTCAGTGCCACCACTGAGTTTTAGAGAGGCTTCAATGTGAGGATGTAAGCCATGACAATCAGACAACCTGAAGATAACAAATACACAAATTACCTGAAACAACAGGAAAAGCAAAGAAAGCTTCTGCCATCTCTTTATTACCACCATAATTGTTAGAAGAAAAGCAATTCAGCTAATAGAAACCCACTTGCAGACTGAGCACTAGTTGTAGGTGAAATGCAATGTCACGAAGACTTTTGAATTATAAAAGCTTTTATAATTCAAATAGTTCACAAGGGAAAAGACATTTCTTTTCCAGACTCACTCACTTTTTTTATTCCCAGAACCTAAGAACTCTCCTATTTATCGCACAATTCAATTTCCATTTTTGTTTTTCAGAGCACAGCCAGAGCCAACAGGGACAACCATGGTGGGATCTTCCTGATTAATGTGGTCAGAATCAGTCACCTCAAGCTCCCCTTCAAGTCAGAGGAGAAAAACAGCCACTTTGAAGGCCTGATTCATCTAATCCTAAAGGAGGTATCTAAGACAGATCAAATGAACTGCACTGTTTTTTTTCCTCTCTCCACTGGTTATATAAGGAGCCTTAGAGATCTACAGTAGACACAATAGAAGTTGGGTGAGTTGGATCTTATCTCCCAGAGACAGGCAAGTTGGCAAACAGTGAAGGCTGTTACATCCATCAGTGCTATGGCTGTCCCAGTTCCCCTGCCAGAGTAAGAAGTTGGATGCTTGGAGTAATAGTGGATACATATGTATTTTAAAATCTCAGCACTCTCAACTGAGCAGAGAAACAGCATGACTTTGCACTTGGAATATATTTTACATACACTGATTTTAACTACACCACTATGAAATATTGCAGTCCCCTTCCACAGTGCACACAGGCCCTAAGCGTTGAACCTGACGTGTATCTGTCAATGCCCCTCACAGAAGCAGTTTATGAGCTTTGCTTTATGAACACCTCTGGTACCCCTGGAATTGTGGAACCACCTAGCATAGGAAAGAGGCTCCGAGCTACTGAAGTACTGCAGCCAGGATTGGCCAAGTCCTTCTCCTATTTAGAGCAGCAATTCTCATTTATGACATTGTGTCAAATGCATCTCTTGTTTTACTCCAGCCATTTCAATGATGATAAAATGATGGCAGGAGCAAGGATAAAAAGGGTATGTTTTTTATGTTAATTATAATCCCATTCCTTTGTGGTGCTGCACATGACAATTACGACAAAGTCTAAAAGCAGCGAATTTCTGTACTGTCTGAAAAGAATGGATTTCATAGCCAAGCTTTCAGAATTTTCAGCACTTTTTAATTTTATGCTCAGCTCTCATTTCGTTACCTAGCAGATGCAAATTCTTCTCTATCTGCAGTGCTGACTGAAACAGAAGTTCTTCACGATTCTCAATAGAAGATTCTGCTTCCAGACGACTTTTTAACCAACAAGCATATTCCTCTTTGCTCAGAACCTGTTCAAGAGAGGATGTGAGGATACAGTCAGTGATGCAGAGGCATTCATACTTTACTGAATAAAATGAAAAACAAAACAAAACAAAACAAAAAATCAGAAATCAAGAACAACAAATTAAGACAGCCTTCAGTTATCTTTGTCAGGACTCTTCCTAGAAGAAAATTAAGAGCTTGCACTGACTTACTCGTTTTGCAATACACAGGGTTCGCAGCCCATCTACAGCATACAGATTAAGGTAATTCTGGGTTTTGGTTTGGATTTTCTTTTGATGTTTGCCCCGAGGGTCACCTAGATACCAATAAAAAAGAAATTAGTGACTGAAAAATAACAGCAGCTGAACAGCCTCAGAAAATAAAAGTATGTCTATAGTACTTATGTACCATCTCTTTAAAACTGATTCTTTTAAAGAGCTGTTGATACCTCCTGGGAAACTTTCAAGTACAACATTCCATTTAGAAAAAAAAAAGCCCTCTCTCATAGTTCCACCTTTTCTTTCTTCCCTCTTCAAAAGTCATTCTGAATGCATACTAGACAGACCTTCTTTTTACTCAAATATTTTTTTGGCCCAAAGGCTTTGAGAAATCACGATAATCTCAACAACAAACAATAATGCCAGAAAGGGAAGTATGATTCAAATAGCCTATTGGCAAATCCTTCTGTACATCTCATCATGTGTAGAGAAACTACCCTTAGTTTTTCTCATGGGTTAGTATTTCAGGACAACCAGAAACAGCACTCTGTCTTTTATGTCTGAGTATATTAAGGCGCAACTGTTACTACTGTACACACACAACTTTGTGGCCTTAGTGGCAAGAAGTTCTCAGAACACATTTACATTTGCACAAGCTTCACAATTAGCTTCTGCCTTGAACGCACAACTTCCACCTGGTTTACTCTTCCCTTAACCCAGGTATGTCCAACCTGCGGCCCAGCACAGCCGGCAATGCGGCTGCACCCTGCCCTGCACCATCACGGCGGTGGCTCTGCTCTGCTCTGTGGAGAGGCCCAGGTGCTTAACAGTCTGACATGGAAGTGAGGATGAAGCAAAGGTGTGTCATCAAATTCCTCCATGTGAAAAGAACAGCGCCCACTGATGTTCATCAACACTTACTGAATGTTTATGGAGACCAAACAGTGGATGTGAGCACGATGAGACAGTGCTGGTGTGTGTCAGCAGTGCTAAAAGTGACAGTGAGTCAGCTCTGCTGGTGCATACTTTTATGAGTGCAGAATGCATGCTCTTGTTCATTGCCAGTGAAAATGTATAACTAATGGCGATGACTGTGTTAAAAAGTAACAATCTGTAGAAAAGAATTTGTCCTATCAAATGATGTTATTATGCTCTTTCTATCAGTTGCAGTTTCCATGAAAATAAATAGGAGGCATTACTTTTGAAGTGACCTCTGTGTATTCATCCCAAGACAATTCCTGCTCACCCAATGCAGATGAGGCAAGTAAAAAAAAAACTGGACATCCAAGCCTTAAAATCGTGTGTAAGAACTCAGAATTGAGATGAGATTTCACTCTTTCATTAGCTGGAATTGGCTCAGTGTACTCAATACTGTGATTTAAAAAAGATTAATGAATATGAAACTAACACACTTTGTTCCATGTCATTACCCGAGATGAGGTCTTCAAAAGTTTATAAAATGTGATATATGTATATATAATTTTAACATCCAGGATCAAAACGGATTCATGCACACTGCGCTGTTGTAGTGACTTTCTATAACACAAACAGTAGTGTTACTACTCAGGGAAACCGGTATAGATTTTTTAGTGAAAGCACTGATGAGAATGACTGGTACCCTAAGGCACGTTTTCTATTCCCTTATATAATCCTTTTTTTATGCCATTACCATAAACAATTAATGCAGGTATCTAAATGAGATGTCAGGAATATCCAATTCTTTATACTTTTCAGCACACATGTTCCCAGCATAATTCATACTCAACTTGATTTTGCTTTGTGTGACTATGTACACACATACCTGTCTATCTATACACATTTATAAAGCAGTACAGAGTCTAATTAGGTATTTGGAGGCTTTGGTACAAATGCTTAGAAGTAGTGATACTGCAGGAAGTAAAGAGTTGAGTGTTTGGAACCCCAATATTCTGGTTTTGCACACTGTACTCTGTATAGCAATTTTCTCACCTTTAAAGACTATCTGATCCTCTCTAGATTTGTAAAGTTGGGAGTGCACATAACCAGATTTCCCTGAATGACTGTGATATTTCATGTATTCCCCACCCCTAAGTGGCAAATATGGCTGGGAGTATGCTAGTAGGCCTGTCCATCTATCTATTAATACTACCTGTACTATCACTACAGATTTCCTCAGGTGGATAACACAGGTAAACTGCTGTGGAAGAGCATCTCTATGAATACAACTTGCAATTGGAAAGGTCTTCCTTAAGCTGTGTAGCTCCAACACACACCACATATTCCTGCAGAAGCTATTTAAGCAGTTCACAACCAAACTCAGCTGCAACATACAGCTGAAATATACATGTACTCAACTGTGATCTAAGGATTTTTATTTAGTTTCTTTTCTATCTGTGCATAATATGTCAGTTGTCTGTGTAATACATAATTTTTTAAGGAAAAAGTGTTGCAGCACACCTTCTAGGAGGCTTCTTGTATTACTAAGTCAGCCTTTTTTTTTTTTTCCTTTAAAAGAACAAAATAAGCAAACACCATTCCTAAATCATAGTGATGCATCACTGTTCTACAGAGAAAAAAATGTGTTTCTTGCATAGCTCACATGCAATTCTCTTATGGGAGTGGCTATTTCAGTCCCTTGCTGATTTCAACTGGCGCAAACTTGAATAACAAAGTACATTTCTATTTCTTTAAGGTTCAGTGATATTAACCACTTCATATCTTCTGAATATCACAGCACCAATGCAGTGACCATAATGCCAAACACTTATACCGCCTTCAATGAACAAAGACAGTAATTCCCTGTAAGTAGAAATGTGCACACTGGTTTCCATGTGAATTTTCACTTCTAGTATAAAGAACTGAATCTCCTTCCTCTGCCAGCACACCAATGAGAGCTGAAACTCCCTCTGGCTTTCATATGCCTTATCAGTCTCAGCCAGAGATTCACCTTGAGATCAAAAGTTAAGAGGGGAAGGACTCTCTTGCACACAAAATCCAGTGGTGGAAATTCTTTTTAGTCGGGATGATGCAGTTTCTATGCTTAGCAGCATGACCACATGAACTATGGAAGAGAAAACCAGAAAATAAGTCTTCTAAAGAAGAATGATAGAGAGCTAGTGGCATTTTGCTTGCTTCATTTCCTACCATAATCACTAGCTGAAAGCCAGCTCAGTCATTGTTTTCTCAGTGACTTATGTTCACAGTTCCTGTGTGAGCTAGTTATTGACTCAAACAGTAACTTTCTTATTTATGAACATGGTTACTGCTGAGATAAAGTAAAAACAATACATCCTTGGGAGTCATTTCAAGGCTTTTGAAAATATCTGGGTGCTGACAGAAAACGACGGTTTTCAGCCTAGATGTAGAGGCGGAAGGAATAGAGGGAATTCAGAAACTTTCAGGTTTTCAAGCTCAGGATAATTTCTATTTGTTTGTGTGCTTTTTTAGATATAACTGAAGCTACAACATAGTACTTTTGCATCTATTCTGGGGCTTTTCACCATGGCGTTTTTGAAAGACTTTTCCTCATAGAGAAACAGAACCTTCCTGTTTCATGGGACCCAGTCCTGCATGGAGATTATAGACACAGCATTGCTTTAGTCTTTCAGTCTGAGAGCATAAGCATCACAAAGTCTCAAAGCATACAATCAACTTGTGTACAATTTACCTGTTCATGAGGAACTAATACAGGAAAAAAAAAAAAAAAAAAAAAAAAAGAGCTGTCACATTAATTTATTGGTTCATTACCTGAAGTGATAATTGCTTGAATTCTTCAAGTACTTGCATTTCCTCTCACATATTCCATGATCAATAGAGAACAGAATGAAAAAACAGATAGACTCATATGTGTATATATATATACATATACACATATAATTTTCACAATATAAATCTTTGGGAAATCCTTCTACGTGGGGAATACCACCCTGTGAGGTGACAAGGAGGCAGCTCCCTCAGGAAATGACAACATGTGCCCTGATGTTAGGAAACTACAGACAGGGACCGTGAATGAGTGAAACTGTTCGAGAGACATGTCAAACATTTTTTAGACAGATCTGCTGAAACTCACAGAATTACTGAAGCCAGCAGCAGATGAGAGGGCTAAAAAATAAAGGAAACTGCTTATGAAGTTCTAGTGACTGCACTTTACACTGCTTGTGAAAGCAAAATATACTAAAACTCATAGTTCATTTGGGGCTAAAAAAAGTTTTTAAAAAATTGAACAAATTCAAAGCATCTTTCAATTGCCTGTAAAGATGCAGCAATCTCTGTATTTGCCCAGCTACATAATTTGCTCAGTGATAACAACAGTCTTCAGGGATTCTGCTTCTGAGTCTGACACAGCTCCTTCTGTTGTGTTGCTGTTGGTTGGTTGGCCCCTGTTGGATCTACCCCAGTAGGCCCTAGGACCACTTAGAATTCGCCCCCAAATTCCTCCATTTTTATTTCATGGTTGTGACAAAATATTTGAGATTTGGCATGAGATAATAATTTGTTATTGATGCTCCGTTCTCATTCTGAGAACTTGTTTCCAAACATTTATTTCCAGGTATATTACTAGTAATTCTGAGTATCCAAATTCTCTAATACTCTGAAGGGAAACAATTTTCCAGATGTTCTCAGTACTGTCTTTGATATCAGATCTTAACCAGAATATTATTTATGAATATTTTGTTGTTAGTTGAAGACAAGTCGTTCCTAATTTTTTGACTCTGCTTTGATTTATGTCTCTATAAACTTAAAACTACCACCAACATTTTTCTGTATTTCATTAAACTAAAACTGCACAGTATAAGCCTTTCACAATTGTTTACTCCAGGCTAATGTCAGAGTAACCGCACAGTCAATGCACTAGTGACACACAGGAAGCACCTCCAGCACTTTCGGGTTCTGTCCATTCATACTGGGGTAACCCTTAAATACTTAATTAAATTCAGTGTTGAACATACAGTAAATTAGATTCAAACTGACTCATGCAAACTGGCACTCCCATGTTTACGCTAACTTCTGAAAGCTTACAGGGTTCTTCTTGAATCCAACTCATAATTAGCAGCAATTAATGTTCCTCCTGATTCATGAGATACCTGAGTGTTGCAGACTCTGGAGAAGCAGTCTATGATCATAGCTATTCCCTAACACAATTTAAGATGTCTCAACTGAACAGATTCTTTCCTTATTTTGCCACTACCTTTCTGTTCCAATGGCTGATTGATTCACACTGCCCTTTAGCACCACAGTCAAACGCAATGTAAATGTGCAGATGCATGCAAATACATTACTACAAAAGAAAGTAAAGATTCATAGGTGAAACAGATAAGGGAGCTGGAGTAGGAACTGCTTGAGTTTTATATAAAATACTGAAATAGCTATGCACTGCTGGGCACGTTCTCCTCAAGAAATGTAAATTGTTTTGGGAGAGTTTCAGGAAATAGATTCAAAATAAAGTTTGCTAGTAAAAGTTCCTGTACAGAAACTGATGTAATTAATTCTTGTAAGGCAAAGAACCAGTCATTAATTAAAGAAAATTTGCTATAACAACGAAGTGCTATAAAAGAAGAGAGATGGCTGCCTTTCTACCATTTCACGTACTCACAACAAAACCAGGCAGGTCTGGTTGCTAGGAAAGGCAGCAAGACATGATCTTTCAGCAATTAAGGAGAACCGCCTCCCCACACCCCCACTCTTACAAAGCTAAGAGGTGTACCTGAAGAACAAGGCAGAAGGAGATCCATAATAACTGAATCTGCTCCTTTAGTGTAAACATTTATTTCATCCGTGAGAGGATGTCTGACCACTACTGACATCCTCTTCCTGATGGAATCAAAGCCCAATGTATGTAATACTTCAAAGTTTAATGTTCCCAGGTGAGGTAGCTCCACTGATACCTGGTCAGACAGCCTTCCAACCAGAGAACAGTTATATGCCCTTGCTGCATAGACGAGAGCAGCTTCGTCTGGACTCTCTGCTTCATAACGGAGCTCTCCTTCCTCAGGCCCGCTCCCTACAGCCATCCTGCCTTGCTGGGAGCTGTAGCCATTGTTATTCATCTGTGCAGAGTATGCCAGCTTCTCTTCCAGTTTTAATAAAGTGCTCTCAGTAGATGTGGATGAAAGGACACTTAAACCAAATCTATGCATTGATTTGTTTGTAGCTAGGCTGGATGAACTGCTGCTGTTAGATCCAGAGGTCAAGCGACTTGGAGTGAGTCGTCGGATGAAGTCTTCTATGGTTTTTACAGGAGATTTTAGTTCAAATCGGTCTCTAACCTTGAGAAGAATGAAACAAGACAATGAACAAAACAAAACCTGAAGGAAAGCTGTATTGGAATTTAGACACTGAATTCAGACATTCAGCCTAAGTAGCTCCAACTTAAGAACAGAATTTCTTTGTGAGCAAAAAGTAATGGCACTTGCAATTTGAGAAGGGAAAGTAAATGAACTTAATAGCAAAAAAACCCAGCAAGACCTAGAACTTCAGAATTGTGCCTCTGCATGAAAGTACGTATACTTGCATTAAAATTATTTTTACTTCTTTCACTTTTTCAGATAGGTCTAATGGATAGACTATTGGTGTTGGACCACCACCAAAGTACATTCTCAAAGGCTGTTGCCATTCTTTGTGCATTTTCAGTACAGGCAGTAAAAAACATGTTAATTCAAGAGTTTTGTACTGAGAAGTGTGATATCAGAAAAGTTTTAGGAGAATAGGCCAGTGTCAATGACGCCTTCAACAGCAACATGCTGATATAAATAATTTCCACTGTCTTCTCTTTTGGATTCAGTTTGCTTCAGTTTTATCATTTACCTCATTTTATTTAAAATGTGATTTTGCAGACTACTTCACTTCTTATTCCTATTTCGAAAAGAAATAAATCTCAGATTTTTCTCCAGAATGGAAATTCAATCTGTGGGCTAGCTTTAATAATATGTTCTACTATAGTTTTGTCTTGGGATTCTATTGTTGAAGTTTCATTCATTTAGTTTAGGTTGATTTAAGCAGTAACAATCATTATTTCTCACAATGAGCTTGACATTTTTTAGACAATGTGAAAGATATGTGCAATGTTTCTCAAGTATACTTTCTTTTTAAAAAAACATCTGACCCTATTCTTAGTTTAATTCACATTTACAAAATCTACACACAGCTTATATTCTTTTTTGATAAGTCTTGCATAATATAAATCAGTTTCCACACAGACTTGCATATTTACATACATACTTACATGCAGATGTATGTACATACACATATATATACACACATTTATCAATTAAGTTATATTTCAAGAACTCAGGAAATTTTCAGTACTATCTTAAAATTGCAGACAAAAGCATGTCTTACCCTGAAGGTAAATATTGCATTTAAGTAATGCTTGACTGAATCTGTTCATTCACAATGCACTTCTAAGAGTTGTCCCACATTTAGTTTCCAGTTATTTCTCATTAGAACAAGCCATTTTCAGTTCCCCAACTTAAGTGATAAATTAGTATAAATTCAAACAAACCTTAAACTCTATTTTGCTGTTCCTTTAACCTACCTTCTGTCGGGGCTGATTTGGAGCAGTAACCACAACGGTATTACAGATAGTCAAAGCAATGAAGAAGTCAAAAATATCACACAGTTCTGGACTCAGATGGGATAATGGCTGTTCGTGGCCCCTCATGATCTCCAGATGCTTTGCACATTCATTCACCTTTTCTAACAAGCTAGGATCTGGTGTGATGTCCTTCTCCTAACAATGAAAAGCAATGACTAATATCAGTGATTCTGCAAATTTCCAAAGTAGCACTGAGCAATCAAAGTGCCCAAAGCAGTGTCAATACCAAGAGTTTTATGAAGGCCTCATACCACAGGGCTGAGATGGAGAGGACTGTAACTCACGCATCACATAGAAAATATACACTTTCCAGTGAGGATACTAATAGAAATGGAAATGTGAGTAATTATGCTGTCAGCTTTTTCACTACTGTTATACTGGCAACGTTCATCTACTTTGGAAGTAGTGAATAGGGGAAGAGTTTCATACTACTGTTCCTCCCACCCCCCAGTCCAGTGAGAACATTCTGCATGGTTTGTTAGGTCTTTTATGCTAAAGCAGAGTACTCTTTATTTCATCAGCACTTTTCTTTGATTTTTTCTTGTCAGAGCAAATTCTGGTATTTCTTAAGATACCAAGATGCTAGGATATAAAAGATCTAAAGATAAACTGAACTCAGGTTTTTTCTTCAGTAGAATTTTATTTTATCTGCTGATGCTCAGCAGCTGATGAGTCTGAGCAACCACTGAACTGTATGTTTATGAAGTGTAGCTTCAAATTGTATTGAAAGAACTTACTCCTGACTAAACTCAAGAAGCTCAACCAGTGCAAGCAGCTTCTTTCTTTGCCTGTATTTGTAGTTTATTTTGAGGGTTCACTTATGTCAAAAGGATAACAAAAAATCCCTTCGTAGACAAGACTTGGTTTCACTGCTCTCTTAATACCACTTAGCTCACATAAAACTTCCAATAACACCATAAAATAAATTAATCAAAGCAAAGTTGAAAGGGTGTACACTCACCCACATTTTGAAATATAAAGTTCTGTTTTTTTTCTAAAACACACGTGCAGAAGAAAAAACGCCAAGATGAAATCTGAGTGGTATGCAATGTAGTACAGATTTCTTTATCTCTTACTTTTCAAGACATCACTCTGTTAAAAGATATAGGACAGTGTGCACTTAATTCTCATGACTTACCATTGGGCTACTGAATGCAGTATGCTTCGACAGTATGCTTGCTCTTTTTGCTTCAGCTCTGCTTCCCGTGCGGCGGTGGGTTTTGGTGCTCTGGCTTCTGTGAATTACTTTGATGCTCTGATGGCTGCAGATACTGTCACGCTGGGATAAAGTTCCTCCTTTTGGAGCTGCTTCCTCTTCCTCAGAATCAGGCTCTTGGTACATAGCTAAGCGCTTGGCTATCAATAAAAATACAAAGGGAGAAAAGTTGCATTTGTTAAATGTTGCTGAGAAAGAGGGAAAAAGGACATGCTGACTTCAGTGAAGTGTTCTGGTTTTATTCTTATACCTTTGGAGCAATACTGAACGACTCCATTACAGGGGATAACAGAAGACATCTAGTCTTAACTACATGGTACCTTCTAATGGAGGGTGCAGACAACATAATTAGGAACATAATGCAGCGCATTGCCTCCCTCATCATGAGACTGAGAGGCAGCTAGACTCTGCGGTAACACACTGCACTCCTGAAGGCTATTCCATAGTTCAGCTTGATGAAATCAACCAAACCCCAGCCTGGGGTCTGTCTCCTCTCCTGGGACATGTATGACAGGCAATGCTGCTTGTGGTGCAATGCTTATTGTGCAGTGCACCACTCATTCCACTTCTACATAGAATCAGAGAATGGCTTAGGTTGGAAAGAACCTCGAAGATAACACAGTTCCCATGCCCCTGCTGCAGTTAAGGTTGCCAACCACTAAATCAGGCGCTGGATCAGACTGCCCAGGGCCACATCCAAGCTGTTCATCCTTGAACACCTCCAAGTATCCATAGCTTCTCCGGGCAACCTATGTCAGTATCTCGCCACTTTGCTCTTGTATCCAATATAAATCTCCTCTCAAACTGTTTTCCTTTGTCCTATCAGTATCAGACTGTGTGAACAGAATGAACCTGTTTTTAAAAATTATATATTACAGTGGAGAACTTGGGTAATGAAGACTTCAAGTAGAACAATTACAGTTAGAAACGAATCTGGGCAGTCTGATGTGTAGAAATAAAAAAATTTAAAAAAAGAAAAGTGCAAAACAGACCTGAATCCAACCCATCTAACAATAGATTCCATTCAGTTCTAAACTGATACATAATGTATTTTTCCATTCCTAAAGATCATGGGCACTTAATAGCCTCTGTCATCCATTAAACAGGCACACGTCACTTTAACAGGTATCTATTTATTCTTTCATTAGGCATTCATGAAAAAGCTTTTCATTATATTCTCAAAATAATCCACACTGTGCAGAGGTACAATGCAAGTTATATACTTTTCGCTCTGCTCTCTTTCAGTTCCATGTTATAACAAATTAGATCTTCCTATGTCAAATGATAGATCATTAGCATGTACGTCAACTATTCAGGCATTCTGCAGGAAAAATTGCCCATGGAGATTTTTCTTTCAAAACATATTCCCAGGAAAAATCTTGCATCAGATACAGTGAGTTCAGTGCATGATCGTTTTAATGGGGCTTGCTTTATGATCAAAGAAGAAACCATCCCCGCCATCTGCTGTAACTTTCAAACATGTTTTAACTGTCAGAAAGCAGCAGGAGGAGCTGAAATCAGATTGCACACGCTTTATGGTGATAGGTCTACCTGTGCAGAATCATAGATTGGAGGCCTTTTCACATTTATTTGGAACATATATTTAGTATGAAATGCAGGAGGTGGAAGAGGTTCCCAGCAAACAGCTGTTCAGAGAGCCATACAGCTGCAAACAGAAGAGCACAGCACCACTGGCTTCTCCTTTCTCCTGTTACTGTGACGCAGATAACAGAATCTAGAAGATAGATCAAAAATTAGGGCTGTCACTGGTCTCCTTGGCCTTTCTGTTGCATGGTAATAGGCTGCATCCTGCAAGTGCTAGGTTCAAAAAACATTGCTCAAGATGACATAACAGAATGGACTTTTGCAATTAGCAATACTTGAGATTTAAATCAATCCTAAGCACATTCCAGTGCCTCCTCAGCAAACCCAGTTTCGAGGAGAATTGGTGTTGTGTGGACAGGTAAAGCACAGTTAAAGCTTGTATTTGCTACAGGGATAACTTTTCTTACTCCAGATGTGGGCATTTGAATGGCAGACTGACAGGATGCTGCACTCCCTGCCAAAAGAGGGAATACTCCTTGGCAGGGAAAGAACGGGGTACAATTATTCTTTCCAGCTTTGCAAAAGGTGGTACCCAGTTAGTCATATTTTTTTCCATGCAGAGTTGTGAGAAAAAAGGCCACATGTTTTCTTTAATAATCATATCTAATTTAAGCTTCTGCTCCAGAAACAAGCTGAAATACATGACTCCAAAGATGGCTGCATTTTACAAACAAAACCAATGGGGTTAAGAAGAGAAGGCATTTCATGCATAATATACACTTATGCTTGCATACCATATATCTGTATTCTTCACTACTCTTACATTACATCCAAAAATATTTTGTTTAGTCAACACAGGAGAAACTGGTTCCTAATACAGCATGTGCCTTTTTTATTAGCATTATACCAATAGTGAATTGGTACACACTGTAATCTGTCTGTGTATCTTTAAGCTATGTTTTGTTCTCTATGCAGATTTTCATTGTAGCACATTCATTTAATTGTTGCTGCAGCGAGGAAAAAAAAGAGAAAAAGATACAAGACCAGAATCTCATTTAAGCAAGTCAAATGTAGCTCGCTTGATATGAAGGGTATTATTTCCATTTTATATCAAATGTATAAAAAAAAAAGGCCACAGCACCTTTTAACATTTTCTCGAGTGCAGTCTTAACATATTATGCAACAAAAACTAAGAAGTTTGAAGAAATAATGAAACACAGTGTGATTGTTATGTTATGGCTAAGGTTCATAATGCTTTAACTGTGTGAAGCGTGCTTCTTTGGGAACATTCTGTTCTCTCCACCCACTCAGCCCTCTCAAATTCAGAACCTTTCCCTACGAATATTATAACCTGAAAGACATTGTTGTGAGATGCTTTTCAGCTTCAGCACTGAAAATTTGCAGCCTTGATCTTTTGTCTGATAGAGAGTTATTTATTAAAGGCAGAGACATAAACACTTTGCAAAACACAGCAATGCAATGCATGGAAGTCTAACTTAACTGTCCTCTTGTTCACTTGATATTTACAGCACGAAGAAAGGATAATTAATACTTATTCCATGGACTCTCCATCTTTCAGAAGACAGCAGTAAGCTGTCACTAAAATTCCTATAGCTTCTGGTAAGTATTTTAAGATACTCTTTTATTATTTCTGTGTTAAAAACTCTTTTATTTTTTATTTTTCAATTATCTTCTTCAGTTGTTTCGTAAGTTATCTTCCATGCTTCCATGAGGCATCCATCTTAGAGGCTGATGGAAGCATCACTGCCACGCAGACAAATGCTTAACTAAGTAGAGAAATGTGATCAGGAAACCATAAAATAATTTGTTCTGGGCAGAATAAAACTGCAGACCCCTTAAACCAGACTAATTCAGCTGTCAGTGTATGGGTCCTGATTTTCCTATGGAGTAACACCATGTATCCCCAATCATTTGGATAAGAATGCTACTGAGTTATCATGAAGTAAGACTAGATGCCTTCACTCTATGTTATTTCCTAATGATTTTATGAGTGCAAGCTTATTTCACTTTGAAGTTCTCTCTAGTATCTAAAAAAACCCTCAGACAAGCAGCTAGCATGCAAAAAATTTGTATGAACTGTGCTAACATAACTTACTTTGCAAAAGCTTCCCCATAAAAACAAGTCCTGAGACTATAAAACATGAAGAGTTTCCATCCTCTCTACTCTTGGCAACTGCGTGGGTATGAAAAGAATACATTGAAGTCTTTCATCATGAACTCCTTACTCCACTTAGAAATGGAGATTCTTTCTATCCACCTAGAGATTTTCCAGAGCAATTTTGAGTGCAGGCATACCTATACTCACGCATACACGCTCAGAGGAAATTATTACCTGTCTCTAATCTCTCCGTCATTAGTTACTGCTTAGGAGTTCAAAATACAACACTCCCGGAGTATTCAGTTCTACATCTCCTGCTTCTGTCCACATCCTCCAATAATTTTTCTCCAGAAAGTAATAACAAATGTAAAGAGAAACTACAAACAAGCTATACAGAGTGCCTGTTCTGTTGATTGCTTCGATCTTTCTGGAGAAAAGCTAAAAGGACCCTCCTGATTTCTGAAGATTTTCAGATGGAAAAGAAAGGCAGATGAACCGTCCCTCTGGAAGAACCAGCCATATTTAGGGAAAAGGTTTTACCCATTTTTATGCTTTTTTTTTTTTTTTTTTTGTTTAGTAAATTCAGTTTTCAATTCAATTCAATTTTCTGATGTGGCAATGTCTTTTGGTTATGTACAAAATGAACAACAAAGTTTCACCACAATACAGTCCCTCAAACTAAGAAAAAGATTTTTTCCATATAATGCACTTTCCAGTGAAAAGTAGTTGCTGGCCAATCTTTAGCATGAAAACATAGAGTGTGGAAGAGAACTCTTTCTTTCTTGAATTCAGTGACTAAGAAACTTGGCTAGCCAAGGAAAAATCACTGGGTTTTCACCGTTTGCCTTCACTACCATAAAATTATCCTTCTATTCGGTTCTCTAGAGTTTTTTTCAGTCATTGGAAGGAAAGAGAAAAATTGCAAAGAATGAAAATATTTAGTTTTTTCAGATTTGTGTGGTTGCATTCATGGAGGTTCAACTTGTGTGTTGTCAGAAGTTCCGTACAATGGGTGGCTAAAACTAGAAAAACAGAGATCACACCCCACAGACAACAGGCAATTCATTTAGCATTTGGAAAATATCTAGGACAAATGTCAGGCCAAGAGCATCTGGTTGTAGCTAAATCATATAACGACTTTCACAAGCACAGTCAGCTTTTGGGCACCTACTCTCCCTGGAACCAGCAGATAGATTTGGGGCATGTCCAATTTCTAGAACTGCTAGGAGCTGGCTACTAGCTTGAAAGGAAAAGCTGTGGTACGGCAACGCAGTTTTACATATAGGACAATAAGTCTTTGTTTTTTTGTGCCTATATTCTTTTGGGCTACGAGGAAATACTGATTAGAAGAACTTTTATTTTTTTGGTGTGATGTGGCACTCCTTTATAGCATCACTGACTGTGAAGGCAACACACAGCAAGGTGCTGTCTTTAAGATAAATGTAACTCCATCAATTCCTGGGAATTAACCAGAGCGTAGTGCCAACGGGTATTCTATAAATGCTGAGGACATTTATGAATGAGGCACTCATTCTTCCACTTGGAAAGTCCATGATATATCCTGCTCTTAATTAACTCACTCTAATTCAAGAACTAAATTGATTTAAGAGAACATGTAATCTAGATATGTGATGGGAATTCTTTTCATCTGTATTTGGAATTCTAAACCACAGAGAAACAGTCATCTAACAGACAATAAACATAGGTGTGTAAAACAAATTTGATGAACTATTAACTGCGAAATTACTAGGTGACTACTTTCCACATAAATATCTCAAGTAGGTAACAAAAATCCCACCTCTGTCAACACTGTGTCCAGAAGGCTCACTGATCAGTTCAATCCTAATCTTTGCATAATCTATACCAGACTGCTACAGGTGCACTTAACAGTGATGTATATTTGATAGAGCTTGCATCATGGAACAGTTGCTAAACACACTCACACCTTCCCTCACAGCTTTCACAACTGTTTTTGGATCCTCTTTGGTGCTAAGCTCTCACATAGAAATACCATGAGTAATAGTCTGTACTACCTCCAGTTGGCTAGGAGATTCTGTCCCATGCTGGTGGAATTTATTGGTCTCTATTATTCATATTTTTGTCACCTCTTGTCTAGACTAAAACAATGCAATATTCCCAGGCATAGTGCCACTAGCCCTGTAAGAAACTTAGAGCCAATACAGAATTCTGCAAGAAAATGTCTTCTCCAGCAAATTACAAAACTGCTGCTTGCTCTCTACACTGCCTAGAAAATGTATTGTCTTTTTCAGGATTTTGTGTTTTCTTTTAGAAACATTTAATTACTTCAGCCCTGCGTGTGGTCCACATGAGTTTCTGTAATGAAAACCACAGTTAATATGCCTGCTTTTGTTACAAAACAGAACACTTCTCCATAATCATCAGGCTCACCTTTTACATGGTAAATTAATATGATACTGTGGAAAAAAAATTCCAGAGAAAATGAGGACACTGCCACCACTCAAAAAAAGAAGAAAAGACATGCTTCCCCAAATGTCAATTTTAACACAGCACAGTGTACACCTTTTAAGGAATCCCCACACCCACACAAATTGCATGCTGTGCATATAGGGGTAGGAAAAAGGAATGAAGAAGCTATACATCATGAGTGTCACATATCGCTTGACACGTTAGTGGCAAAAACTCAGATACAATGATGACAATTGCAGGATAACAATGCCTGCAGGACAGAAAAGAATGGCATAACTGATCATAACTGAACAAATTTTAGGGAGAAAAGCTTACAGCGCAGCATGCATAAAATTTGTGAAGACTATGCACAATCTGCTGATTGAGTAATTAACAGACCTAGATTATGCAAAAAAACCCCATACTTCAGCAGAAAATTAAAGTTCCAAAGCATGGAAATTTTAGACCTCAATCTGTCACTCTAGGTACGAGTTTCCCCCTTACTGTGTACGCGTAGCTGAACTTCAGAATATAGGGACTCTACATAACTTTGGAGTAAAATTTGCCAGAACTTCTTAGCATGGGAAAAAATGCATTGCATCTTAGCTTTGCTCTTGGATATGGCTGAACGGAACTGTTCTGACTGAAATTACTCTCCCAGACTTCATGCCTGAGGCAGACATCTGGCATGGGAAACTTTAACCAAATAGTTAAAAGGTTTGTAAAACTATCCATAGCTGAAAAAAGGATCTTATCATGGGAAGGGTCAAGCAACTGTAATAACAGGCACTGCTACCCAGCCACAGCAGAATAACAAACTTAAGCCAGAGAGCTCTGGACAAGCGGATTTCCATAATCTGTTTTACAGTAGAAAATGACTTGCTATCTTCAGTTTTTGTATCTTGATCTATGTAGGAAAATTTTAAATACAATCCTTCATTTGAAAGACTGAAAGAAGGGTTTGATTCCAAGCAACAAATCACTATGCCTGAATAACATTCAGATAAGGAAAGATCCAGATTATCACTGAAGTGGATGAGAAAAGGTAGATGCATTTTATTAGGTTTTCTTGCATATATGGCAGTGCCATATCACCTACCAAATCAAAATGTTTAGAATTTCCTAACTCATGAAGTCTTCAGTAAAGTCTCAGGAGGGAAGCTGGAAGGCATCCAACAGATATATGTCCCAAAACCTCAGAGGGGAATTCAGATACTCAAGTATAAACACTGAAGAGCAGCTGACAAATAATTTGCAATTAAGCACAGAGCAATGAAATGTTATTGATGCACCTCTTATAAAGAATGAGCTGTGGTAAGCATCTTATTCTATCTAAACAAAAAGATTTAAACAACGAAGAATTTAAGATATGGTTAGAAAATCAGACAGGCAAACAGCTTAAATGAAGCCTGAATGAAGAATCATTTTTATTTCTTGATTATAGGGAACAAAAGCAGTAAAAATGATCACTAAATATGCATAAAATGACAGAGAAAGTTCTATTTTCTGTAGAGGAGAAGAAATAAAGTTTAGAATGCCTTGTGTAAACAAAATATCATTTTTAAAATACCTTTATGTCTGTGATTTTATACCAACTGAATTTAGAAATAGCCTAAACATAGGAGTAAGTGAAATGAATGACAGAAAAAAATAATTAGTTTAGCCTATTTAGCTACTTAATTTATACTTTTGTTTGTAGTGAACTGCTTTTACTGTAACCTCAAATAATGAAATGAAAGCATACATACTTAGATTTCTGTTAAATACGTTATGTTTGAGAAAAAGAAGATCTGAACATTGAGCCTCAAATTCAAGAGCCTGAGCTCAGCTTCCACTGATGCTATTCAACACATAAAAATACACTTTCAGCACTGTTTTAGTTGGCAGTACCATCATCATTCCTGCATTCTGAAATTAGTACAAACAAGCAAACAATCAATGGCAAAGGAAAAAAAAAGGATGAACATGGAGTACTGAGAGCAGAACTAGGAGTCCAGAAACTGCTCTTAATACTAACTCTCCTTTCTTTCTTACCTACAGTACAGAGGCAGGAAATCTTCTCTATTTTAATTCTTATTTCTCTAACACTGGCATAATAAGACTACCCAAACACCTTGGTTTTTCTGAAGAAGAATGCAAAATGTCAGCACTACTTCAAGAGAAAAAAAGAACAATTGTCACATAATCCAAAGCTTCAAAATATTATTTATCATCTTGGAATCTTATAAAATTTTTAGATTTTTCCAGTCTATTTTGATTACTTCTCTTATTCCGTATCTTTTTTTGCAAGCTGAACTTCTGTAATGGCTTTCAAGAAAAAATTTTAAAGCAATGATTTGTAAATATTCTGCTAAGAAATCTAATTTTTGCAATTAAGAATGCATTTCTATAGCTATTGATATTTTCTGATACAGAGACAGAATATGATTTGAAGAATTAAAATCTGTTATGTAAAAAGCAGTAACAATAAAACGTCAGAGAAAAAAAGCTTGACACTAACTGCAAACAACTCAAAAAACAGGAAATCACTTCATTATTTTGGTAGGGTGATGAGATGACACAGAGATGACAATCCCCATTTTCCCTTGTGACCAAAAATGAGTTTTCAGTGTATAATGCTGACACTAGGGCATAGTCTATCAATTGCAATGGAGTCACCTTAATGCAGACACCTGTCACACACACAGGAACACGGAAAAGAACCGACAAAAGTAACATAAAATATGATCTTAGGTCAGATTACATTTCCTGTGAATATAAAAGCCAGTAAGCTTGTTTATGTTTTGTTATATTATTATGTTTTCTTATTCCAGCTATTCAATCTGAGACCGATCTGGCTGCATACTTAAAGCTGTACTTAAAGCTGGTACTTTGCATTGTACACTTCAAACACACAATCAGTTGTGTGTTGGTGATACTATCCAATTTGCTTAAATTAGCCATGGGCTGAAGTGCTTTACAAGACCAGAAGCTAAAGCTTGAAGCCCTAACTGTCTTGACAACATACTGTCCATGTTAGAGAACATTCTGAAAAGACTGCCTTTACTAGCTGAAAAAGTCATCAAAATATAATTACATGAAAACAGTTATTATGGAGTATACTGAGTGGATACATGCAATTTCTTTTGTTTTTCTTTCTTTTTCAAGATTACAGCAATTTCTTAATCTACTTCAGATTTCACCAAAGCACAGCAGTTAGATATAAAACAAGATCATGAGCTCACCATTATCATCGTGGGAATACTCTATTCCAGAAACTGTGCATCTTCGGAAAACCATCTTATTTTCAGTAAGTGTCCCAGTCTTGTCTGAAAAGATAAACTGCACCTGACCTAAGTCTTCTGTGATATTTAAAGCTCGGCACTGCAGCTGAGAGTCTGTTTCTTCATCATATAAATCTTTATCTTGATGAATAAAGTACACTTGGCAGATTTTAACTATTTCAATGGAAACATACAAAGAGATTGGAATCATAACCTAGAACACAGAAAAATAAAATGAATTAGGAGAAAACAGACTGAATTTGTAAAAATCTAATTTGGCAGTAGTCTAGAATGCAAAGAGGCTATGTACTTTAAATGTCTACTGTGAAGCTATCAGCACATTTGAAAACAGTCTATCTGCTGTATCAGATTAAGAAAACGTCACGAATTGCAAAGCTGAAATCCATTATTATGTCTGGAAGAGTGATTATCAAAACTTGGACAGAAATTGAACTTTTCTGGGCTAATAAGATGTGCTTGAAACTGGCCAGGAAAACATAACAAAGCAAAACAAAAAGACAGTGCAGTCAGAATCCTGTAAATGTGTTTTGCACTTGAAGAATAGAATTAATTTATTCTGCATAAATAATACACTGCTTACAAATTCCCTTAGCAGCAACAAGAAAACAGAATGAGATGTGTAAAGCTTTCCATAGGAATGATTTCTTTAGCCCTGGCATCTGCACTGCAGATTAAATGAATGAAGAAAAAAAATAATTTCTGAAGAAAGAGATATGAGAAGTTTCTCCAGAAAAGATTTCCAGCTGTTTCTTAAGGTTTGTCAAAACTCCATGAAATATCTAATTTGCATCTCAGTTTTAGCCTGCAGATGTTTGTTCACACTGACACAGAGTTAAGAACCACATTTTCTGGAAAGTGGTTAAAAATGTATATAACTTCTGTTCATACCATACTCAAAGTGGTACCCCACATCTTTGATGTGTTTCACAGTGGGTGCATATGAAGCATGAAGCCTGTTTTCTTTCAGGTGAATCCTATCTCTTCCTACTTGTTTAAAATAAAATAGAACACCTGAGTCTTTTAGGGAAGGTTAGTTTTCAAGTGTTTTTCTTCTCCAAGGCCATTGTAGCCCTGAGACCTTACTGTGTGATCAGTGTGCTTGTTTTCAAAAAAAATTTTCAATTTTCATCAGTGAATAGACCATTTACTTTCTTTCATTTAGATTTCTGTTTATATATTATCGCATTCTCTATATTTAAAATTTAAAGTGTCTAAATACATCTCTACTGTTTGATTATCTTCTCAGTGGTAGAAGGGGTACTACACACCCCCCACACACATAGGAAATCATAAATACAGGTGGCATTTTGCACAACTTGGATACCTGAAAAACTATGATTGCTGTCAGAAATAAATACACTGAAGCTAGAACAGGAGACAAGTATTTGCCATCAGGTCCTGGAACATCAAAAACTGGTTTCTTCTTCTCACCGTATTGCCATACCCATAGGCCGTGACCTGCAGAAGAGTTGAAAGAGAGAAAAGTCTACAGTAATTCCAAGATATAAAGGCATATAATATAAACTGGTCCTCAGAGAAGAGTTACATAGGAAATTGATACTTGTTTTCAACTATTCAGTATGACTTGAAAGAGATTCACAAAAACCTACTTTTTTTTCCCAGTAGAATTTAGGGTTTAGGATAGGCATTTGTCTGGTCCTAAGGACAGTATCTACGACTCACTTTTTGAATAAACTTTATCCAAATAAAGCAATCTGGCTAGTGTAAAACAGTAGTTCAGGCTAAGAGTAGCAGCCGAGCCAACAGCAGGGAAGCTGAGGAACGAAGAACAGAAAAAAAATTAAGCTTTGCTAGAAACCTTGTGTTCTTGATCGTGATTAGTTAAATAAATATAAGGATATTATTATTTTGGGAAAAATACACTCTTGTTAAAAACAGAAGGTTGCCTTTTTAAGAAGAGTGCTAGGAATTGCAGCTAGTTTCTTCTGAGAGATGGAGGAGAGACTGAAAACAGATGTCTGATGTTTGTAAGGTTAAAATCAAGGATGAATTTCACCACCATAAGAAGTATTCATATTATTTTAATTACACGTCAGAGAACAACAAAAGAGAAACAAAAGCCTATTTTAAAATTAATCTGTCTAGATTTTAAATTTGCCTTTACATCCTGATACAATAAAACAGCATTGAACTTCTGAAAAATACAAGCAACATTTAAGCCAATAAGGAAATTATTTTGTCTCAGTACTCCCAATATCCTCCTACTGATGGCTGTACTTCTATTCTTGATTGTACTCCCAAACCAAGAATGACCTACATCATGACTTGTTTTATAAATATCTTGACTCAGATTTCCTCCATTTATAATGTCTCGATGGAAGATATCAGATTTGACTCTTAGAGAACACAGTTTTGCATGTGTGCAGCATCAGTCAGCTCTGGTTTTGAATCGCTCAATCGAATTTACTTCCAGCTGTGCATCGTGGTTATCACCTCCTGCACTTTGCTTTGGCCCTCTGCTGGTGGTTTCTGTACTTGGAGCAGAAGTGACAGAGTAGACATCAGATGTGTCACCTGCTGTGTGCCCACCTATTCATATTTACGCTCCCACAGCCCATTGTAGTCATGAAGCAACACAGCATGCTGCTACTGGTTGGGACATCGCCTGTCCTGTGGTGGTGAATGGGACAGCTGCAAGCAGGGACTCCCTGCAATTAAGCCTGCCTTCAATTAAGGTACTGCAGCACTTCAACACAACCTTCAGGACAGGGCTCTCTCACACTGAGATGCTACACCAAAGTGTCATCAACTCAGCGGAAACAAATACGAGGACTGATTCACAGCTGGAAAAAACTCATCTTTAAGCACTATTTGACAATACCTGGAAAAAGGCATGCTGAGATTTATTAAAATGGCATAAGACTGTTATTAAACTACACTGTGGTTGTTAGGAAACATTCTAATGTTTCCGACGCATGACTCACACACAAACACAAGAGAACACACAAACGTTAGGGATATGGAATTCATATGCAATATATTAACAATCATTTTGGATGCCAGATAATAAGAAACTCATTTCCTTCTTACAAACAAGTTAAAAAAAAGCCTGAAGAGTATTAAGCTCAGTATTTCCTTAAACTCTCCAGGAAGTCCAGAGGATCTTCTAATTGGATTTATGAAGACTGAGACATTTACGTATTTCTTCAGTTTCAAAGCTGCAGCCTTGAGTTAATAAATAGTACTGGGGAACAGCACTGTGCTAATTATGTTTACTCTCTGGTCATAAATTGATCTGTTGGCTGACTAAGGCATGTTATACTCTACCACCTGTAATTTTGAGGTCACTATAAGCCTATAAAGTGGCTTCTTTTGGACTTGTCATTTTTGGAAGTGATAGAATGTATGCATCTGGATCTCGGATATTAATGACTTACACTTGATTGAAACTAAGAATCCATTTAGACAATCCTGTGTATTAAAACATAATCATTTCAAGGAAGAAAATGTAATCAAAAAGCAGCTATATGGATTTTACGTTTCTGCAGATACACATGTTTTTGCTGAAGCTAAGCATGTGAATCTCAAGAGAGTCTGACAGTTAAGTTTCTATTTTTAAAGAGCACTTACCAATGGCAGAAAACAGACACATGATGAGAAGTATAAGGATACACCAAAGGACATCAGCATTCATCTGTCTTTCAAGCTTACTGCGTTTATAGCGAGGTCCATTATTATTTAACAAAGCTTTGGTCTCATGCCCTGCAAAAGCAATTGCGTCAAATGATGTAATAGGGATTCCTGTCTGTATTTTAAGGAAACTATAAAAAGGCAAGTGTGCTTAGTCAGACAGAAAAGCAATTTTTACCTGCATAGATTACAATTCCTACAACTTCTTCTGTATTTCTAATAGTACATCCACGTAACAAAAGATTTTCTTTGAACAGTCCATCCTTTTTTCCACTTTTATGTACACTGCAGAAAATTTAAAAGCAGAACAAAGCACAGCATGTCAAAACATTAAGCTTGTTAAATCATACTCTGTGATACAACAAGCCAAGGAAACATCTTCAGAGTTTAAAAAAAAAAAAAAAAAAAAGTTTTCTCAACCTGACGGTGAAATATTCCCTTAGATCTTCCTCCTGGGACAATCGTCTGGCAGACTTTGAAAACTGAGAATCCCTACCCAGGAATCCCAGACATGCAGCAGTGCAGCTGAGCACTACCAATGGCTCTAGGCTGTGGGATATGCAAATGTACTGGACAAACGTTCAGTAGATACGAAGGGCAAATCTACAGCAACTATACAGCCAGTTCTATGCTTTGAAAATGCATTAAACTTTTTGTGCATGTACAAATTCTGCTTGTGCAATCACAGTAAACTCAATCCATCTACGGAGCAGATGTGTAGTGCATAATGCTTACACAGCGTTCACACGTTTTTATCAAAGAAACATGGAGAAATTGGGAAAGGGCAGGGCTTCAGATACAGTGGCACTAAGATACTAAGAAAGACTGATAGTGTATATCAGTCAGTTTAGTGAAAAAGAAAGGAAAAAATTTCTGAGAGTTCATCAATAAGGGAGATTGCTTTCAGAAGTGTCTCGCTGTGTAAGAAAGATGAAATGGCATGCACTCTGATGACTGCATGCACTAAAGCGCATGAGAAAAGTGGAACAATACTACATTTTCACTACAACTTCTTACTGTCTGCTCTGTATAAACTGAAATTTCAGTTGACTGAGAACTGCAGAAAACAGCCTTATGAGAATTAACTGCTGAACAATAATAACAGCTATTAAAGCATAGGGTTAGAAAGTTTTATTAGGTTAAGAAAGACAAACCTAATAATCATTTCAGACCTCTTCTGCATGAATAAAATGTAATTTAACAGTAGTATACTAATGCCTCAGAGCAGATGAAAGCAATCTGAAATGTGTTCTGCCCCTGCAGAGTAGCATAATCATCACACTTCCAAATTCTAAAAACTCCAACAGCAATAGGAAACTAATAAAAGCTCAGAGTTTAAGAGAAATCCTGGAAAACCCTAATGTGTTATGCTAAAATTAACAGTATTATAACACCAAACTTTATGGCTACCTGGTTTTGAATGTTTAAAATAGCGTCCCCTGAAATCTGCAATCTATCTTAAAACTGTGACTTCTACAAAAAAGTGGATTTCATAAGGAAAAAACTTCTGCTTAGCCCAACCTCCCCATGGGCTTCATGTATGAGAAGAGGTTTTGTTCAGCAAATATCTGTAACTCACTGTTTCACCTTTTGCCAAGAGAGCTTTAAAAATTGGGGGCTGCTGTATGTCAATAGGTACAAATACTGATTACCAGCTGGAGAACTATCCACATTTTGCTGGACTTGTACCATGGGGAATAATTTTGTAATGAATCCATAGTGCACAAAATACACTATTACTGGGATTCTGCCATTTGCTCTTTAAGATGGAACTGTGCTTTAGCCTTCCTTCCTCATAAATGGATGTTAGTTTGAGTTCCCAATTCAGTTTCCAAATCACACTTATGACTTCTTTTAATAAATGGACTTGATAAAGACAAACCTACTTAGGAACTAATAGCTTTGGCTTATGATTTTATAGCCTTCATCGGTTCTTTACACTTCTTGACTGTAACAGTGGACTGTGATAGGCATACTGCAGACAGCATGATTACTTGTGTGCTTGTTCTACACAATTAGATAGTTGTTCTTGCTTATCTTGTACCACATCTGATCCTGCTGAAGTTAACCCTGAGATGTCAAGACCGGCCAACCTTCACTCACTGAACCTTCTCACCACAGCCCATCCTCACATGCACCTTGCACTGCTTTTTATGTTCTCATATCCACATGAAGTCGACCAAATCACCTGTTCTTTAAGAAACATGGATGAAATCAATGTGCTGTTGTATAAACAACTCTCCTAGTTTAACATGGGAACTCAAATACAACCTGAGGAAAGCTCACATCAGCCTTCTGTTACGTTTTCCCTTGGAACTTAGCCAGCGCTAAATAGCAAGGTGACCTATCAATCCTGTATTCAGAAGACAGTATTTTCTTTCCTTCCCTCGTGTCTCAGATTTCTTACAAAGCAAGTAGTGGAGCTGTTTGCTTTCCAGTACTTGAGAATCACAAAGAAAACACTCTGCAGTCTTCAAGGTGGCCTCAGTGTCACCATTGAAAAGAACCTTCCTGACTCTCAGTGTTGACTGAAATGTGTTCTCATGGACTTTGTACCACTAGAGTTTGTCAGAGAGACACTGACATGTACAGTAACGTATTTTTTTATTTAAAAGATTGTAATGTGATTTTCAATTATTTTGGCTTTGCAAACTAGGTCAAGCTTTGAAACAGAAATGCAGGCATTGCACTCTACAACTACCTGAAGGGAGGTTGTGATGAGGAGGGGTTTGGCCTCTTCCCCCAGGCAACAAGCAGGACCTGGGGAAATGGCTGCAAGTTGAACCAGAGGAGGTTTAGGTTGGACATGAAGAAAAACTTTTTCTCTCAGAGAGTGGTCAGGCACTGGAATGGCTGCCCAGGGAGGTGGTGGAGTCACCGGCCCTGGCTGTGTTCAAGAGGCGTCTGGATGAGGAGCTACGAGATATGGTTTAATTTGTGATAGCAATAGTAATCAGAAGATTGATCTAGATGATCTTACAGGTCGTTTCCAACCTTGAGTTTCTATGATTCTATTATTCTTATTATTGCTAGTATTTTTACTTCCCACATTCACTTTGGAACTTTCCAAGCACATCTTTTGATACTGAATGATTAGATACAGGTTTCTGTACTTTTCTTACAAAAAAGCCTTTTACCTTTCAGAGAAAAGCTGAGAAGCTGGAATGCAAACTATGACTTCCCCTTTTCCCTTGCACATATACATATAAGAAAGGTAGGAACAAGATTTTAAGGCCAATTTTGTTATTTTTGGAAGCCGGTACAGAATTTTTGAATTTTTGCCGTGCATACTGTACATACTCTGGCTAGACCCAAGCAGGCAGAGGTCATGTTAGGTTTTACACTATTCTTTTTACCCAGAAGATTTCTTACGGAGTAAATACGCTTGGGATATGCAAGGGTGCAGAAACAGCAGGGAAGAACTGAAGCAAGCACTTAAGAACAGGCAGTCTCCCTGCTCATCTGCACACCCGGAGTGTGATCAGTGCAGGTCATGTCAATGTCACTAAAGAAGTTATATGTACTAATGTGTATGATACTATTTTGTAGGCATAGGATAGGGCCAGGCCTGTCTCAACACATTTTGCAGTATTTTTCTTGGTTTGTATTATCGTATCTTCTCTCACTATGAGCTGCCAGTGCTACACTGCTTATCTATAATGATCACAGTTCAGAATTTTTACAATATGCACGCTCAAACATTTCTATTCCTCTAAAAAATTGTCAACGTAGACATTACAACTATATTTTATATTTCAAACAGGAAAAGATGATAGACTTCTTTAAAAATAGAAACCTACTGTGCTCACAGCATCCTTATTTAAATAGCCTAGTAGCATTTCTTTTCAGCTGAGATACTTTCAACTAGGAGCTATCTGAATCTGTCTTTCAAGCAGTCACCACTGGTAAGATTTTGAATTAAGATCTGATTTTGACACGGCAATTACATGCCTCAATTTAGATGTGCTAATTACTATTCATCTTGCTAACATGAAATATAGCCATGATTTCATGATGTTAATGAAGAAAATCAAAAACAGAAGGGAAAAAAAAAACCCCTCTCCATTCACAAACTTGGAGTCTGAGAGTTTATTTGTTGACAGTTAGTCTCTCTTCCCTTCAAATGTCCCGTGGACCTTTAGTTGTAAATGTTTTGGAGCATAGTTGATGAGACCTGGAAATCATCTTATGCTTTCTGTCAGATTCACAAATGGTATCTTGACTTTTTGTTGTGTATTTGTTAAACAGCCTTCTAGAACATTCTGTGGTGTTACTTGCTACATAACTCAGCTCTGTAACTTACATGATACTGAACTTTTTCACAAGGAGTACATAAATAAATACATAATTGAAGACAAATTTATGCGTACTTTCTATAGCATTCTCTGTTCAGACCTAGTGAAAGATACCCTAATCCATGGAGTAGGTGATCTTTAAAGGTGTCTTTCAATCCCAACCATTCTATGATCTTATGCTCAGTATATGGGAACTGAGATTCAAACACAAGAAGTGTGAAAGATAAGCTGCCAAACTTTCCATTTCCATATCTGGAAATGTCATTTCTGGAGTACAGCAGGCTCTCTATTAATGTAGACAGTTCCACACTCTCACACAGCAATGTCTAATACTAAACTTTTATCTTTACATGTACTGTAGCGCATTGTGCTGTTAAATAAAGGAACACATTTTCCCACACTACAACTTGACGCAGTTTTGAAAAAGCTAGCCTGATTCACACCAGTTGACAGTACATCCTACACAATTTGTGACATCTGAGAGTAGTAACTGAGCTGGTAAATTGCATCATTATTAAAAACTCCCTAAGCCCCAGTAATTTTCAATCCTTATACCATTTACGCAATTCAATACTGCTCATCACTCCTAATCCAGATGATAAATTATGGTATTCTATAAAAGAATCAGTGTCTGTTTAGCTCTTTTAATTAAAGTGTAGACCAAAAAAACCCAAAACATTCCTAGGATTTCATGTTGCATGAAGTTAATGACTCTAGAAAAACACAAGAGTGCATCTCTTAAGTCACCGCTAGTGCTGGTGTGTCCACACACTACAGTCCAGGCTACATTAGAAGGAAAGCACTGTGTACATACTAAAACATTTTTCACTTTTTTCTGAGCAGAACAAATTGGCCAGGGATGAGCACCCAGTTAATGCAGCTCTGTTTGTTTAGAATTGTTAAGTGGTTGTACGTGACTCTGCATGGTAATGCACGAGTATGCCCACTGTATGAGCCAATTGTTTTATTTGGTCTGAATGAGGAAAGGAATATTGCCATAGCTGGACAAATATCAGTTTCATGTCCTGATTTTCCACAATGATGCTCATATTAAAAGAAACATCAAACAGACAAATCTTCATAAAAAGAGAGTAAAACATCGTGCTTGTTTATAGGCTCTCTTGGACTCTCGGACTGCTTTTCTATTTCCTACAACTTCCAAATTGACTTATTTTTATCTATGGGGAGAGGGAAAGGGAGAAGAGTGGCTGCAAGTACACTGCTTCATATACTCATTCTGGAGTGTAAACTGATTCTAGAGTGTAACCTAATCAAAGCTAATAACTACACCACCTCCCTCAGAGGAGATGTTATTCAGTAGTGACAATGACACAGCTTATATAACACAGACCAAACCAAAACAGCATATATTTTGTTCTGTATCAGAGGAAGGGAGTGTATACCAAAGGATATTACATGAAATACTCACATGGAACCTCGAAACCTACTTAAGTCGTTGTTAGGATTCTCACATTCAATGACACTGGTGAACTTCAAGGGGTCAAATTCTGAGTCCTGAAATAAAAGAAGTATTAATTACTTATTGCAAAGACTTGTAAATTATATCCAGAATCACTTTCTTAAATAGCTTTCTCAATATCTATCAATAGCTATCTCAATATCTATCCAGTTTTTTTCCAAAGGCAGTCAGATTAATGACAGTGATCACAGGCACTGAAAATCAAAGGGATCTGAGGAACACCAAACTTCTGCAGGCACTTTGCAAAGTCTCTCTTACTTTTTTATGAAAGAGTATGGGCTTCTAAGGGTACTATTATTATTGTTTTATGGCAATAATAAATAAATTAATCTACTACAGTAAATTAGACACATATAACAAAATAACTATTTACTAATTAACACTTAAAACCTTGGTTCTCTAGCTCATTAGTCTGAAGCTGGTATTTTTGCTAACTGTAGATTTATTTTCCTGTAGGCAACACCTTGTTGTATTGGAGTTAAAACATCCTATCACAGCATAATGATTTGATTTTGTTAAATAAAAATCAAAATTCTTTGACAGATTAAATAGACCACGCAGTTAAATGAGAGATGCCTGGTTCAGCTGCTGGGACATCTGTTTGTCTCCAGAAATGCAGACTGCCATTAGGAAACTGCTTTGCCCACCCTCTGAATGAAAGAATCAATTATGAATCATCATTTTATTCAACTTTCAGTTGATAACACTGCAAATATTATGTTTTATAATGGTTTTGCTGAGCAGCGGTAGACTCCAACTACTACCTTTTAGACTATTTTATAGGAAGGGCTTCCTGAGAAATAGTAATCAAAAGACAAAAGTTTCAGCTCTCTTTTCAGCTTCTCTAAAATGCACAGGTGTCTGAAATATGTATACATTTTTAATATTGGTTTTATTTAGAAGAAGTAAAAGAAGCTATTTGTAAGTAATAAATAAGAGACCAGAGGATATGCTAGGATCACAATCAGTGGTGCTCTTTAAAAGGAGGTGAAGAATTTCACCAAATACCTTCGGAAGAAAGACCAACTTACAGTACATAGGAGACAATTCAGACCACCCAAATCTGACACTGTTAGAAACCTTTACTGTAATTTTGAGAAACAAGAGATGTTAAGTGAACTGGGAAGCTGGGCTGTCATTTTGAGATAGCTACAGCACACAAGAGTGAAGAATTTCTTTTATTTGCAAAATTGAACTTGTAAACAAGGGAAAAAAAGCAATAAAAACAGAGGGCAGCTTTGAGCAAAGAATAAAATTGCCATGCTGTGAATCAGACTTCCTAAATTATATCAAGGTTGGCAGTCAGTACCTGAGACTTAGCAAGAAATCTAGATGATCTCCACACCAACTGTTGGTATTTAAGTTCACTGGATATTTCTCTTGGTCAGCCTTAAACTTCTCTAGGTGACTGATCTTGATTCTGGAAACGTTCAGTAGTATCTACTCCTATGGAGGCACCTGAACTATTAGACTTTAGAATAGAGCAGAACCCATAAAGCTGCATGTTCACCTCCTTTGAGCCTTATTCCTCAGCTACTAAAGCTATTAGTAGTCTCAAGGAAAGAACTGCTGGTTGGAACACATAATGTGAAGCTTCCAGGTCTCAGCATCTGTTACCACATCTCTTAACCTGTGCACTACTTGTGTCTTTGCCTTCTGCTCCGTAAGGTGCACATCTACAGATGATGCACCATCACCAAAGTATGGGAAAAATAATCTACAAGTACTGCTAAAAGTCTTTCAGTAATGAACTCTCTCTTTGTTTAAGTATTGTGGTAAAGAAGAACCAACACGGCAGATTAAATAGCATTTGCAAATGGGAGGGGAAGAATAGACTGGAAAGGGAAGCTTGACTGCCTTTTTGTTAAAATGCACACACTGATAGAAGTGTTTGTTCCTTTAGCACAAATTTTCATTCAGCAGTCCTAAAACAAGAAAAGAAAGAAATCTTAACACTTTTGCTGGATGCCTCTGAGAGAATCCTGGAGACACTTTATAACAAAAAACAGTGTAATCAAATGCAACCTTTCTCTGGCTGCTAAACTCATCACAGACATTGCATGCCTTTCTATGCCATACAGATGTATTAACATTCACTTTTAGAGCTGAACTTCCGTTATGCTATGAATTCATGTCAGCAAAGCCAACAACTTTACAAATAAGAAAAAAATCTGCTTAGAAACTAGAGATAAGGTCTTCACAAACTAAAAAAAAAAAAAAAAGGAAGGATCTTGAAGATCTCTCCCAAGATTATAGAGGACTAAAACTACCTGACCCCTATACCACTACGATGCAACATGCTCTTTCTCCTGTTTGTTAGGTTCTTTGTGTTTATGACTCAGTTTTGGAACAAAAAGTTCCCAAATCATTAAATCTAACTGTCTGTGTATTTGTGTTCTGTTGCAATTAACTTGAAATACGTGATTATGATCTTTAATCAGATAATATCCGGGAGGGGAAAAAATCCAATTAGAATAGTAGTTTACGTAAGGGAACAAAGCTGCTAAATTCTGATTTGTTGCAAAGGCTCCTTAGCTTATTAATAAATCAAATAGCTGCAACTCTTCCATGTGAAATGGAAGTGTAGATTTACACTGTATATTATAGCAACAGCAGTGTTTTGATGTGAAAATGCTTTTGGAAAATGAAAGAACAAATATGTTACACTGCCTGTGTGTGATTGCTTTTAGTGGTTATAAAGAAGCACAAAGCTAACATAAGATTTCACAGTGATCAAAGTTCTGTTCTTCTTTATACTGATATCCACACTTCAGTAACAAACAAAACATAAACTGTGATAATATTCTAATAATACTCAAAAGCTGTGGGAAGCTGCAGCTAGAAGGAAGTTAAAACAAAAACGCTGTTTTTCTAGTGCATGAAACATGATTTCTGTTGTTTTCTAGGTAAAAGTACATGAAAAAAAAAAGAAACTCTCCACTAGTACCTTTAATTTTTCTCTGTTAAGACATAGGCTACATGATCAAAACATGGTCTAAAACAGCACTTCCCGAAATCTTTGTGCAGTGATTATCTCCTGTGCTAGATTGTCAGATGTTTTACTTCCCACATACAGAACTGGTAGCTATTAAACCTGCCACATCGTGAAGAGAATGCAGAGTTCCAAGATTAGCCAGATTGGTATCTGAACTCAGGCTTTCCAGCACCTAGTTTCCCTAAAAATTTGACTTATTTGTCTCCAAGTAGACATATAACATCAGGCCACTCACAAAAAGCAGCCAGAGGTGATTTTTTTCTTTTTTAGCATACATATTATACAGTGTGTACACCTATGTACCTTTGCATGTCTGCCAGGCTTGTGCCTTGCAGGCTCTTGATTTGAACAACTGACTTTCTGGTTGAAATAAATCTGAGAGATTTGCTGACTGCACATAACTTTGTCCCAGAGTTTCACACAAAATTTTTGGATAGCAAGGGCTAGGCCTAAATTATCACAGAATGATTAAGGTTGGAAAAAAACACTAGGAGCACCTAGTCCAACCATCAGCCCACCCCCACCATGCCCACTGGCCACATCCCTCAGTGCCACATCCACATGGTTTTTGAACACCTCCAGGGACGGTGACTGCACCACCTCCCTGGGCAGCCTGTGCCACTGCATCACTGCTCTTTCTGAGATGAAATTGTTCCAGAACCTTCCCTAGCAAAACTTAAGGCCATTATGTTCATGTCAGTAAAATTTTTCTCTTAAACAATTTGTACTTCTTCATATTCTCGTATTCTGCTAGAATATCAATCTACATTAATACCATTATTTCTATGGGAAGTCCCTGTAAACCACAAGTAAGGCAAAATATCCTGCTGATCCTTTAAGCAGAGTTCCTACTATAGGCTTATTTCAGGGCACAAACTGATGGTCGTTAGGACATTACAGAAAAGTATGTTTGAAAGGATACATGAAGATCATTAGAAAAACAAAGTCTGAAAGGACTAGAAATGTTTATACTAATTTATGTGAGTGTCAACTTAGAGAAAAGAAGACAACATGAGCACCACACATTCCAAAGTCTAAGTAAAGCCAAATACATTAAATTACTCTAAAGGAAAAAAGAAACAGCAACCAGTACTCAAAAAAGTTTTTAAACCTGTGTTAACGCTCAAAGGTTGCATGCAATCATATTCCCTCCAGTCCAATCAAATACTCTTGAAACTGTGGAAGATCTTCAGTATGAGAGACAGATGACATTTAGGAGCCAAGAAATGCAGTTTTGTCTTGCATGAAGCCAAAAAGGGAATCCTTGTTTTCTTTTCATTTGAGGAAACAGGACCAGTGTAAACTTCTCTGCCCACGCTGTTCATGCTATCTTAGCACTTGCAGATTCATGAAAAAAAAAAAAGATTAATTTCACTCTTTTCCAAATGTTAGGTATTGCTCCTGCTTTTTTGACACAACACACACACAGTTCCAAGTATCATTCATCTGGGCTCCAATTTTGTTCTCTGTTGTCTTCCAGGCTGATGCTGTTCCTTACGTTGGGTTCTAATTTCACATCACCATCACGGTGTGACAGCAATATCACCCTGCAACAGGGCTCCAAGATGTACCAACTGCACACTGACAAGAGTATGCAAAGTTTTTTGAAACACTGAACACAAGAAATGTGTCTGCTTGCCTTTGCTCTGGTGAATGCAAGGAATGGCTGGATGGCTGGTAAAAAATGTCTTAAAAACTGGATGATCACAGGCTTTTGCATGGGGGATTATGAGATGAAATTGGTGTCAGGCCTCATACAATAACGTGTGGAACCCAGGAAACTGTTACTGTGACTATCACAGAACAACGCACTTCTGCTTACACAGGTAAATCGTAATTAGGTTTTGAAATATGTGAAACAGGTTTCAATCATCTCTTTCCATATGGCTTGAGAGTTCCAGAAATATAGAAATTAATAAGTACATTATTTTGTCACTTACAAATGCACGTTCACACATATCCCCACATCATGGCTGTTTATATCCTGTACTACAAAGCTTTCAGTGACTACAGATTATCCACTTCACCCAACCAAAAAGA